ATTCTCTCTGCGTCCCAGAGGGCCGCTTTGATGTTCGAATCAAACGAACCAACCTCCAGAGCGCCGTCACGTGGGTCGTCCTGAGGTTCATTTGATGAACAGCTGTGAATGTTAATCAGTCCGAATAAAGAGGGTCCATTGTGGAGAGGTTGACCTTTAAGGTTGTAACAACAAACACAGTCGGCAATAATACGAGCAGGTTACGAACATTTGGTCGCTTGTTTCTCATTTAAAATCAGAGAGTTGTCTGCTTCCTCATATTTACATATTTCCTGTAACGGAGCCAATAGTGTGTGTTACATCCCCCCCCCCCCATTAGCTGACTCTCTGACAGTTTCTCTGACAGATTGACGAGAGGGAATAACGTACTGAGGTGTTTTCCTCCTGGCACCCCGGGGCTAAGTCAGTTAGCTTCTTTTATCAACAAGTCCAAACTGTCCTCTGTCTGTCTCTGAGGTTGTGTTCACTGGGAGGCTGCTGAGCCCCGTTCAGTTGCAAACGCTAACGGCAGCTACATTAGCAGTTAGCTGAGTTGAGGCAGAGCAGCCTGACAATATTCTCTCCATAATAATAATAATAATAATAATAATAATAATATGATCCAGTTTCACCCAAATCACTGATAAAGATCGACGGTTGAATGATGTTATTGGTTGGAACAGTTTTTAGAGCAGAGGTTACGATGATGATTTAAGAGATTCAAATAATGAAGTTCTTTTGAGACAATTATGAAAAAATGAACTTGTTTGTTACAGCGCCACCTTGAAGTCAGTTTCTTTCTGTTTATTTTTATAGTTTTAATGGAGAAAACTAAGAAAGAAAAGTGAACTAAAGCATCAACGAGCATCACAAATAACGTCAGAGCAAACCTTCGATGTCCTTTAACGTCTCCTCGTCTCCTTCAGTCCTGGAGATCCTGCAGCTGGTGAAGAAGCGGGACCTCCTCCTGGCCGACACTCACATCCTGGAGCTGGAGCAGGAGTGTAACGAGTCCGCCGAGCCGGAGGACGCCGCCAGCCCGAGTGTCAAAGACGGCGGTCGCAGGAAGGCGAAGGACGTGGAGCTGCTGTATGAGGAGCTGCAGAAGGAGCTGTGGTCCGTGGTCAGGGAGTCTCTGCGGTCCCCGACGGCCGGGCCGAACCTGGGCCTGGTGGTTCAGGTGAGTGCTGTTGCCACGGTAACGGTAATTACTCAGGCACATGTGGTATCAGTGGTGACCTCACCTGTCTGTCTTTCTGCGTGCAGGTGCTGCAGCAGGAGGAGCAGACTGATAAGGACTGGGCCCTCAGTGAGGCTGCGGCCCCCGGGGGCCCGAGGCCTCGCCGTCTGAAGCAGAGGTGGAAGGAGGCGGTGGAGGAGGCGGCCGACGGCTCTCTGCCTCAGAAGGCGGAGTTCACCGAGGGAGAGCTGGACAAATACCTGGACCGCCTCCGAGCCCGGGTGGTGGAGGACCTGGAGGCCGCCAAGAGGAACGTGGTGTCCATTTACCCCGAAGAGTACCAGCCCTTCCAGGTGAGGACACACCTGAGGCTCTAATGTCTGCGTTAGTGTCACAGTTTGAAGTAATCTGACAAATATCTGAACAACTACTGCGTCTTAATGCACTTTGACCTTTGACCTCTCAGGTGTACGTGCAGAGCTACCACCAGGCGGTTGCTAGGCGACTGCAGGCCATCACCGGCACCTCGCTGGAAATCACTGACATCTACTCCCTGCTGGACTGGCTGCACAATATTTACAACAGGTACACAGACAGTAAACGTCCCAACAGACCAAATAGTTCCAGGAATCAGTTTCCTTCTTAAGAACGAAACATACGAGTGATACAGGAGAATAAGTGTATAAAACATTAACTTGGAAAAATATATATAAGTTATTAATGTATAAAATATGTAAAATATGAAATATTACAGTGACGTTAAAGTAAACTTCCTGTAAAGTTACTCACCAGATCTTTATAGAAACATACAGAGCTTTTTTGTTTGTTTTTTGTCACATTATTTTTGAATGATTATTTCTTCTTGTTGGTCCTGTTTCCGTCTTTCATTAGCTAGCATTTTGCTACAGAGTAAAACACTACCTAGTTACATCTGATAGCTAATATTAGCTAGCTAGCTTAACACAACAGGAGCTGTGTCTTTGTAATGCTGATATTAATGCTAGTTGCTACGAGTGCTTCCTTATGTTTTAAATGAATTATAACATCCAGAGCGTCTGTGTTTGACCAAATAACCAATGGACGCCATTGTGTTGTTTCAGAGACGTTCTGGGGACGGTGTGTATCACGAGTCCGTTCTGCCGCTCTGAGCTCAGTCCTCTGCTGGCCTCGGAGACCGTGGACCGACTGGAGCTGGACTGCCTCAACTCTGTCAGGGTGAGACACACTCAGACATTCAACTCAACTGTATTTATAAAGTGACACAAAACTCAACAAACAACTCATAAAATAAAGGAGAGAGCTTCAGAAAGAGGAGGAGCAGTTCGGTTTAAGGAGGTTGAATTATTCTGCTGTTCGTTGCAGCCTAAGAACGTCCTGTAGTTTGAGGTGCGTTTGTTTTAAACCCCGGCCTCTCCCTGTGCAGGCTAAAGTGACCACAGAGTTGAGTCAGGTCCTGGACGAAGAGGAGAAACGATGGATGGAGTCGCTGCACATCGAGGAGTATCAGATCACTCTCGCCAAGACCGTCATACAGGTACATCCTCCCGTCCAACCTCTCTTTCTGGATTAACCATTCCTAAGCCCCGCCCCTTTTTGGTCTGTGCTCCAATAACAGCTGGCATGGTTAGCATTTTGCTACAGAGCACAACGCTAGTTTAGTAGCTAATCTTCATTTTTAGCAAACTCGTTGGCGTTTTTCCTTTAACATTATCTTTCAGATGTAACTAGCCAGCTAACAATTTATCTAATTACCTAAAAAGCTAGCGTTTTGTCTTTTAACCATCTTCAAAATGTGGTTATCTTTCCAGCACAGATTAGCTTAGCATAAAGCATATCTTAGTACAGGAAAGGAGAAAGTTGAGCTGCTCAACTGTGATTGGAGCACAGAGCAAAAAGGGGCGGGGCTTACTGGCTGTGTTTGTTGTTTCAGAGGCTGCAGGTCGATCTGGAGCGTTCTGCCTCCATCAACAACAGTTTGGGCTCCAGAGTGGCCCAATGCAGCCTGAACGGCCTGGCAGACTTCCTGTACAGGTACACACACTTCTTCTTTTCTTTTTAAAGCTGTGGAGGTTGATAGTGATTTATTATGACGCTTGTGTTTGATCTTGTTTCAGTTTCCAGCGTAAAGTTGAGATGTTTCATGAAGGGATGCAGAGCGGCATGTTCGGAGACAACGAGGACGGATACGTCTCCAAAACCATCGCGCTGGTCAACTGCTGCCCTCCGTTCAGGTACGAACAGGAAACAGATGATAACCTTATTGAGACAAAAGGAGAAAAATATTATGTTAATATTATTAAGAACATGTAGTTTGTTTCCTTTTTGCATGTTTCTATTGTGCAAATGAAACATTTATAAATAAATGTTTCTTTTACACTGAAACACACTTTAGATTTTAGATTTTACTGATGCGTGTCATCAGTTTTCTGTTGTCATACCTGTCTCCACTCTGTCTCCACTCTGTCTCAACTCTGTCTAAACTCTGTCTCCACTCTGTCTCAGCTCTGTCTCCACTCTGTCTCAGCTCTGTCTCCACTCTGTCTCAACTCTGTCTCCACTCTGTCTCCACTCTGTCTAAACTCTGTCTCCACTCTGTCTCAACTCTGTCTCCACTCTGTCTCAACTCTGTCTAAACTCTGTCTCAACTCATATATGGCGTTGAAAAGAACGTGCATTTAGTCAACTACCGTAAAAACATTAACTTTACTTGAGTGTTTTCTTTTTTCATGCTTATTTAAACTTACAGTGGACTAAATTTATCAGACGCTGGAGTTACTTGTCAGATTAAAACTTCACAAACAAAATGTGATCAATTTATAATATTAAAGATATTCAACAGAATATAACGTATTTAAAATGAGCTCATTTTCCACCAGCTATAACATTTAAATGCTGCTTGTGTATTAAGGCTTCAGAGATACAATTAAAATAATATGACTATATAGTATAACCCTGAAAGGCTTTTCAACCAGTACTTTTAGTCTTGATACTTTAAACACACGACAGGGAGATTTGAACTGGTTAGAAACAGTCTGTTTAATACAGATGACCTACATAATCAAACCTCACTTTGCAGGTGTAGGATCATAGTCCCTGTGTATTAATGTGTGTGTGTGTGTGTGTGTGTGTGTGTGTGTGTGTGTGTGTGTGCAGGGGGTTTGTGCAGCGCTGTGCTCAGTGTGATCCGTCGGTCAGCGAGGACTCTCTGCGTCGAGCCAACAAAGCTCTGGATCACATCGTCCAGCAGGGAGTCAGAGTGCTGTCTGAACGCCTCTACCTGCACATCAGGGTACAAACACACACACACACACACACACACACACACACACACACACACACACACACTCTCTCTTATGACTCTTGAGTTTGAGTGTTTGTCTTCCATTCAGTCGTCTGTTGTCTCTGTATCAATAAAGCTTTTTGAATTCAATTTAATTTTTAACTTTTATTCATGCTGAGAATGTTTGAAACTTAATGTTTGAACTCAGGTAGACAGGTAGAGAGAGAGACAGAGAGAGACGGAGAGAGAGAGACAGACAGGTAGAGAGAGAGACAGCAAGAAATACATTATACTGTAGTTTAGATGAGTTTGTTTATAGTTTGATTTGTTTTATTTCAGATTACTTTAGTTTAGTTTAGTTAAGATTAGATAAATGTAAAATTAACTAAGTGTTTGTTTTAGTTTGTCTTTGATTCATTTAATTTAGGTTCAGTTAGTTGAGTCTGGTTTACATATATGATTGAAACTAATGTCTGTCTGTCTGTCTGTCTGTCTGTCTGTCTGTCTGTCTGTCAGCCATTCTTTGAGCGGCTGGTGAAGAGGAAGTGGTTGAGCAACACGGAGCCGTACGAACAGATCGAAGCTTTAATCAAAGAACACTTCAAGAAATATCACAGGATGGACAGTCCACCATACCAGGTACACACACACACACACACACACACAGACACACACACACACACACACACACACACACAGACACACACACACACACACACACACACACACACACACACACACACACACACACACACACACACACACTCACACTCTTTGTTTCACCGTCAGCTGCTGGCGGCGGAGGTCCACCGGCGGGTGGTGATGGAGTATCTTCGCTCCGTCATGCGAGGCAGAATCATCTGCACCTCGATGAAGATGAGGAAGAGGATGGCGGGTCGGCTCAGAGACGAAGGCAAACAGATCAAAGTCCTCTTCAAAGATCTGGTCAGTGGTTAGTTTGAGAGATTGATGAGCATTTATCGGAGGAACGGGTTCAGTTCAGACGATTGTTGACCCTGTCTCTCTGTCTGTCTGTCTGTCTGTCTGTCTGTCTGTCTGTCTGTCTCTGTCTGTCTGTCTGTCTGTCTGTCTGTCTGTCTCTCTGTCTGTCTGTCTGTCTCTCTGTCTGTCTGTCTGTCTGTCTGTCTGTCTGTCTGTCTGTCTGTCTGTCAGGAGTCTCCGTCCAGCTGGTTGGACAGCGCTCTGTCTCATATCTCGGAGATCATCCAGCTGGAGGACGTCCCCTCCATCCAGATGGAGGTGGGAGTTCTGGTCAGAGAGTTTCCAGACGTCAGGTACGAACAAATCAAACAAACCCGCCGGTTCTGAGAGTTTCCTGGCACAAAAACAATCGTTGTGACCTCGTTTTCACAACAAAAACAAAGACTAAAATGAAATAAAATGTACGTTTTGCAAACAAGAACTATGACAAAATGTTATTTTGACAAATAAAAAAATAAAACGGTAACGTGAAAGACGAATAAACGAGCTAATGTTTTAATGAAGGAGAAGAAACGAGTTCGTTTAAATCTGCTAGCTGTGCTAATGCTAATGCTAATGCTAATGCTAATGTTATGTTGGCGGGAAAGCACACCAAACTCCCTTTAAGAAATATCAAATTTTTAATCCTAACGGGTCAGTGAATTCTGATCAATAATCTATAAAGATACAGTGTATACTGATCAATACCATCCATAAAGATAGTGTTTCTGATCATAATCATAAAGATACAGTGTTACTGATCAATAATCAATAAAGATACGTGTATTCTGATCAATAATCAATAAAGTACGTGTATCTGATCATATTAAAGATACAGTGTATTCTATATAATCTATAAAGATACAGTGTATACTGATCAATATCATCAATAAAGATACAGTGTATACTGATCAATATCATCCATAAAGATACAGTGTATTCTGATCAATAATCAATAAAGATACAGTGTATACTGATCAATAATCAATAAAGATACAGTGTATTCTGATCAATAATCAATAAAGATACAGTGTATTCTGATCAATTGGATCAATACAGATGCTGGTTGAGGTTATAACAACAACAGCTGTGTGTGTGTGTGTGTGTGTGTGTGTGTGTGTGTGTGTGTGTGTGTGTGTGTGTGTGTGTGTGTGTGTGTGTGTGTGTGTGGTTATTGTTCTCTATTAGCTGTATGGATTATATTTATAGTCTCCATACAGTCGGATCAACTCTCCGACAGAAAAAGGTTTCAGCCCTTTAAAAGTATGAAAATGTGTTTTACATTCACTTTATTAAATTCTGGAATTAATGAATAAGTTAATCATAAAGGAGCTGGTGACCCATAAATACTGAAAACATCAACATTGTTTGTCAGAATACAGAAAGTAGCATCATGGATCACGTTAGCTGGAGAATCTAACGTTAGATATAACAACTTGTTATGATTTATTAAAATATTTAATGTCTCTGTTTCTGTTCATTCCTCCTCTGTGTTCAGGAAGAAGCACGTGTCGGCCATTCTGAACATCCGGGGGATGACTCGGCAGGCGGAGCGGCAAGAGATCCTCAACATCGTCAAAGACATCGAGAGCAGCGATGGCGTGGGCGGCGGCGGCGGGTTGGCCCGGCTGTCCCGGGACCGCGCCCTCTTCTCCGAGGTGCCGGTCACCTCCGAGGTCCACTGCCTGAACGTGGGCCTGAGCCGCATCGCCCTCACCGCCTCGTCCTGCTTCAGCACGCTGCGACCACGGCGACGCAAGACCCGAACGCCGGTGCAGGAAAACCCCGATGACGTTCTGTGAGCGGCGGAGGTCGACAGATCTGGAGATTAAAGACAGAAGATGGAGGGACGATGTGTGAAGACGAGAGACTCACATGAGATCAACTTTTAATCATTTTGACGTTTTGATTTCATGAAAAACTGAGTTCAACTTTTACTTTCTGGGATCCTGATGAAATAATCTGAAAGAGAGAAGTCCTGGTGGACGAAGACAAAACTGGACTGGAAGTCGATGGATTGGTGAACAGTTTGTGCCACATTGATCAAGAATTAATAATCAAATTTATCGAAAACAAGACAAGTTGATGTGAAATCAGAAAAACGCTGTTAGATAATAACAAATTATTAGATATAAAAATGCACTTTTCTCAACAACATTCATTTAAAATAAGATTATTGATGGTGAAATCCTGATCGCAGTGATTTCTGGTAGACTTTGGTTGTATTGAGATCATTTAATAACCATATAAAGGTTAAATATGGAAGTGGATGTCGCACTGAAACCGTCTTTAGTCTTTCCAACAATCACCAGATTAACCCTTTACAGCCACTGGGATCAGATTTAAACTCACATTTCAAACCTCACATTGTTGATTTTCTGCACCTGTGAGTTCAGATGAGGTGTGTTTGTTTTGTTTGCGGGTGCGTTCGGCACAGTTTGACATTTTCCTGCAGGATTTCTGGAGGATCAGTAAAAAGGAAACCAGTTCTCTGGACTGAAGTGCATTATGGGACGCAGACAGCATACAGGAGGACTGAACCACACGAAGATCCTTCTTATAAAAGAGGAGTTTTAGTTTATAATCCCAGAGGCTTTGTGGGAGTTGTAGTTTTATTGTTGCACATTATAGAAGACTGTTAATCAAAGGTACTAGACGATGCTCTGTGTATTTAAAGCAGTGATTATAACTCCAGCTCTTTGGTGTGATGATGTTAATAAACAGAAATATTATTTTTTGCTGATTTAAACTGTTTTTCGACGCAGAGAAATAAAAAGGGAGGGCTCACTCTGCTTATATTTGAGGGACAGAACTACAGATTTCAATTCCCTCAGTTCCACATTTAACGTTTTTATGTTTTTCTAAATTCCTGCTGATCATTTTTTCTGAAAACAATCTGAAACATACAGAAAATATAACGGTGTAGTTACACAATCTGCCCACCGGAGGGCAGCGTCCACACATCCTCAGACATTCTTCTTCTACTCAGTTTGCCGCTGTAAATGTGGACATATGAAATGAATCTTTCTGTACAGCGATCAATAAAACCGATATAAGTTCTCTGACTGTTCTTTGGTCGGTTCCAGAAATCAATAACTCCTGTGGTGGTGTTTAGTTCTGATAAACTTGAATATAATTACAGGTTACGACCTAATAAATAATAATTATAATATACAATAATCTTTTGTTGAGGTAATTTACTTGAACTTTGATCAGATTTTTACTCTCTGTATAAACTTTGAGCCTGAAGTGTTAGTTCAAGTTTAAAACATATTTGATTTGAATATAGAAGTAACTCAAGGTTTTATTGTTTTTATTTTATAAGGGTAAATTAAGTTAATTGTTAATAGGATTCAGTTGATTAAAGTCTCATATGCAGCATTTTTCCAAACGTATTTAAAAAGTGTGAATTTATCTGATTAAAGTCACTTAAATTCATCTTTACACAAATGTTACCACTTAAGTTTAAATTTTATTAAATACATATTATTAAATTATTACATTTTCTGTGAAAACAGCGGACGAACGTATTACGTGCCGTATTCATACTTTATTGATTATCAAAATGGCAGCCAATTAGTTATCTGTGGTTTTTATGTGATAAACATCAAATTTTTACACTTTGGGGGAATTATTTGGATGCAGATTTGGACAAATGATGGTTAATAAACTGAAATAAAAACAAACATTTTGAAATCCATAATAATGCTTATATTTTTAATGATATTTTAACATAAAGAAAATTAGTCAGTGAAACAAACTGGAATTATATCACCAATAATTTAAATACTGAACACATTTAAGTTCACTCAAAACAAGTGAGTTACTTCAACAATTTCTTTGTGAGTTGAGTTTAATTAATGTGGAGGGTTAATTTATGTAAACTAATTTATTTTATTAAGATGTTGTCAGGTTTTACACTGTAAAAATAACATAAGAGATAAGATAACATAAGTTCATTAAAGTAAAAAAACTGTTGAAACTAACAATAAATGTTAAAAAAAAACATTGATAAAGCAGCTTTAGTCATTAAGTGAAACTGACTTAATTGTGTAAAATATCCAGTAAAAAGTTATTAATGAGGATCTTTTCTGTAACAAAAGTTAGTGTCACTTAAAATGACTAATAAAAGCTGATTTATTAAGAATCTTTATTTAACCTACAAAATGTAGTTTGTGTTACTTAAAGTTTCGATGTGTAATAATTTAACTAACTTAACTTGTTTATAGTGTAATAATGTTCTTTAATGTATTAGTACGTTTATGTAAAAAAAGACATTTAAATTACTTTATTCAGATACATTTTGTTAACACATTTTTAATTTTACCTTCACAATAAATTAGTTGCTTCTACTCAAATCAAATAATTTTTCAGGAGTTAATAAATTTAAGAAGATCGTTTTCAGTTTGAGTTGAAATAATAAAAATAAATAATTATAATAAAAATAAAATAATAAAAACTCAGAGTGAAACTTTGATGCGATTTATTGAAGATTTGTCCATTCAGGGACTAAAATGTTTCAAGTGTTAGTGAGAAGTTTCCTCCTACAAAGATTAAAATATCACAGACAGATTTAAATACAATAAAAACACAATGATGACACAGTGACCCCCCCAGGTAATAACGAAGCCCCGCCTACTTTTGTACACCTGTTGTTCAGCCTCTTTTTGAATCAGATTAACTGCTGAGCTGAACACATTTTAACAAAACTAAAACTAAAGTTTGGTCTCCAGTATCAGACACAGGCCTCCTCTCAAAGCATCATGGGAGCTGTAGTTTATTTAAAATTGTTTTTATTTTGAAGAGAGGCATTAACATTGTTCAGAAACTTGTTTACCTGAACAGAAAACTGCAGAAACTGGTTTTCACATTTGACTAAATTATGATTGAAGAAACAAACCGTCAAACATTATCACCACTTATGACATCACAGTGTGTTGGTCGAGGGGGCGGGGCTTATTGATTTAACCTAAGAAGAACTATTTTTTTTCCGATAAATGTTTTAAATTTGGTGAAACTTAAAAAAATAAAAAATTAAACAAAGAGCCTACATCAGTAAAACATAAATGTGTTGACGTGAATTTTATTTTGTAGGAGGGATGAAAGGGGCGGGGCTTCACCGTGTCATCATTTACCAAAATAAATTTTTTTAAAAAAGAACAAATAAAACATCAAATAGCACCAACATTAATTTCAAGCTAAATAAATACTCTGATGACATTTACAGTAAAAATATAAAACGCTCGAGTTCAACCATATTTACAAATCACAGAGATAATACAGGACCAGGACCAGGACCAGGACCCGGACCAGAACTACAAACTCAACCTTAAAAGGAACAGAAACCGAACTGAAAGCGGACAAACAAACAAAAAAAGAACAGGTAGTAAGTTGTGTTAACTTTATTAAAACATCTGTTTCGTGACAGTTTTGATATTAAAACTTGAAACTATCAGACAGATAAATATTCAAATGAACTTTGTTTATAAGACAAAGAAAATAGCCACGACTCAAACACATCAGCTTCTGGTTCGGAGCATCCTGGTCCTGGTCCTGGTCCTGGGTCTGTACTGCAGCCCGACCTGTTTCGATGTTCGACTCAGAGTTACAGATTGTCACCACTCGTCAGTTTTTACATTAAAGGAACCGTTTCTGCGTTAAAGTCCGACTGCTGCTCTGAAACTTGGAATAAAGAACATTAAATCAGGCGAGCTGATGGGGAGGAGCTCCGAACACGTTTCAAAGTTTAATGTCAAAATATATTCACAGCTTCTCACGCAATCCTTTCCCTACTTATTAACAAAATACTGACCGACCAATGGCACGTGGCCACTGGCTCTCTGCTGACCAATCACAACGATGTTCAGCCGGCCAATCAGAATGGATCTTCAGTGCAGGCTAGAGGCGAGGCTAAAGTTCACTCAGGTGTTCGCCGTCGATCTCTCAGATGAGGACAGAATGTCACGTCAAACGCCGCCTGCAGGATGTGACGTCACAGGATGTGACATCAGCTCATATAAAATTGCTGTGGTGGGAAAACTTCGTAACGTCCGTTTTTAATGGTTTGTGACGTGAGCTGCGAGTTGTTTTTTCACAATAAAAGCACTGAAATGAATCCAGATAAAATCTGCGCTACAGATATAAAAGGTATATAAAGAGATACAAGGTAGAGATACAAGGAGATACAAGGTTTCCACCTGACAACAGTGATTAAACATAATAAATATGACTTTTAACAAATGTTCTTCTCGAGATGAAAATGCCACATCAGGTCAGTCAGGAAGACAATTTCCACCAATCGCGTAAGTCATAATAATCAAAAACTTTCTTAAAATAATGACGCAAAGTCATTATTTTAAGAAAATGTCCAATACTAAGTTAATATATTGAGACATTTTATCATTATTTTTTGGGATGCTGAGTCATTATTTTGAGAAAGTCTCTCATTATAAAAACTAACAGGAAGGTTTTTTTTATCACAGTGATGGAAACTGGCTTCCAAAGTTCAAACTGGGGCTGAACAATGTGTGCAATAAATGATTATTAGTCAGCGTTATGAATATAATAAGTTAATAATTAACTGGTTCGTTTGATGGTCTTTATATCTCTCACCACAAACACAGTTGAACTTACACACAGCTAATCGAACTTTTGAATTTATACGTTTGGACAAAATGATCACTAAACATGAATATTTCTGCCTGCGTCAGCGTTGTGGTTGTCTGCCAGAAGCTGTCATACACTGACTGTTTACCATCCACTGTTTAGATCTTGGTGCTTTTTAACTCTAGATTTGAACCGGATGAAGGATTTTAGTCATCGGACGTCTGGATCTTAAGTTATCAGAGAAACAAGCTGAGCTAACGTTAGCAGCAGCTCGGCAACTCCCATGATCCCACGCTGTTTCACCACCTCATCAAACCTCCTCTTTTCTTATAGTTTTGATGTGAGAGACCCCCTAGTGGCAGAACTACAGATTGTACATTTAACCCCAGTTCAAACATCTGTCTGCTGTGACATTTAGTGAAAAGACAAAAGAAAGCAGTTTGAGTGTTTGTGCTGCTCAGAGTCACTCCTGCTGATCTGATCATTGACTGATTGATGGATTGGCAGCATTATCTTTAACATGACAGTCTTTCCTCACAGAGACAAACAAACGATTCTGTCCGTCCCCTCGGACTCTGCAGGAGGAGGCAGTGGAGCGTCTCCGCGCTCCCTCGTGCAGGAGGAGGAGGAAGCGGTGCTCCTCCTTAATTCCTCATGCAGACGTTGCACCTCCCGATGTTCTTCCTCTGCTGCTGGCTCTCGGTCAGCGTGGTGGGGGAGCTGTTGAAGGTGGAGGTGCTAGTGTCCACTCGGGTCAGCCAGAAACTGTAGATGTTGGCGAAGTAGTGGCAGGTTCCTCGAGGCCCCTGGCACTCCACAAAGGGCTGGGCTCTGAAGTCAGTCAGGCAGCTGCCTGATGATGTCAGAGACTGACCGCCGCCCTCATCACCTGCACCTGTATGCTGCAATCACACAGGAAATGACATCATCACCAGGTGTTAGACTCCAACCCAGTAGTACTTTTAGGACTGCAATAACAATATTAGCAGTAGTATTATCAGTAGCACTTCATCAGTAGTAGTACCTCTACCACTGCACTACCCACCATGAGGAAGGAGTATCCGGTCCACAGGCTCCTCCAGGTGTGGGGGCATTCTGGCTTGGTGGAGGTCTGGCTGTGCAGTGCGACAGGTGAGGAGGGGGCTTCACACACCACGCAGCGGCTGATGTGGTCTGCGATGGCAGCTCCCGCCACCGGTAAACTGGGGACGGCTGCCGTCGTCGACAGCCAATAGGATTTATCGTTACGGCTGGCATAAGAGCAGGTTCCCATGTTACAGGAGGAGAACGGCATGGTGGAAAAGACCCGCATACACGACCCCGCCTGACCTGGAAATATTATTAGGACACATATTGATTAAAATATAGATTACATTTACATTATTCACAAACATTTTTAACAGCACACTTTGAAAAATCATTCTAAATGAATGTAACAGGGAGAACAGGTATTATATTGTTATTGTATAAATATTGCTGAAGTTTTGCTCTCCTATGAGCCAGAGCGCAGTCATCCATTATTATTAGCAGGGCACTCATTGCCCCCCAGCAACACCTTCCAGCTCCTCCTGGGGATCCCATGGCGTTCCTAGGCCATCCTTCTCAGATACCTGAACCACCTCAGCTGGTTTCTTTCAACACGAAGGAGCAGCAGTTCTACTCCGAGCTCCTTAACCTAATCTCTAAGGCTGAGACCAGACACCTTACGGAGGATCATTTTGGCCTTTTGTATCATGCCGTGCTCATGGACAGCTCCCTCTGATCCACAGTAGGCTGGTACAATGCCCACATCACTGCTGACCACACCAACCCCCCTGTCCATCTCAGGCTCCATTTTACTGTCACTCATGAACAAGATCCCAAGATACTCAAACTCTGGTCATATTGGGGACCACCTGGGTCGGGGAACCATGCAACGTGCTAAATCCAGTGTGAGCAGACACAGGCTGTTATCAAAACCAGAGTCTTAGGTTTTAGTTTAACAGTATGAAAACTTTAGTATGCGTGTGTTTATAAGTGTAATTTTACCCAGATCCTGAGTGTGAGCCTTCTCCTGACCCTCCAGGTACAGCAGACTGTATCCTTTCCACAGGGTATTCATGTCAGGTGGACAGGAGGGCGCCTTGTTTGTTTGGCTGTGCATCACCAACAGGAAGCCGGAGTTCAAGGTTTTGGTTGGTCCGGAGGGACCGCGGTCACCGACTGGACCAGGATCACCTGAGACACAAAGACCACAGGAGGGCACATCAACCAAGGCTCCAGACTAACTTTTTGCATTGGTTGCACTGGTGCGCCTAACTTTTTTTTTTAGGTGCACCAGCACAAAATTTAGGTGCACCCAAATTTTTCATTGCGTCGCCTTTAACGCCATAAGGTCACCTTTTTATCGCTCTCCATAACTTTCATATAATGTGAATGATTTTTAAACAAGAATAAGGTGTAGAGAAATGCTTGTCTTTATTTGAAGCACAATTATATATAAAAATAAAAATAAAGTGTTTAAAGTGCTTCATTGAGCTGAAATTGAACATTTCAAATTAAAACACTAAGCAAAATAAAACATTTCCAAATAAAAGAGGACCTGATTACTACTACCTGCCACTGAAATGCAGCTGGGAGGGGCCACTTTCTCTACACACTTGTCACGACATATCGTGTGTTTTTAAGACATGTTATGTTTTTTTAAAGTTTCGATATGAAACGTTGTTGACCTGCTCACGAATGCACTATTTCCGGCCATATTCTGACCACACTCCTGACAGTACACGCAGTGCATTGCGTTACGTCCTTTGTTGTACCTCAGCCAGGGAAATTGTTTCAGCCAGTCCTGTCTGAAGGAATATATTTTGGACTTTTTGATTTGGGTCTCGGAGCCGGGCTCTATCCCAGACTCGGTTATCTCCTCCACTGGTTCCGAGTCTGATGCTGTTGCCGAAGGACCGGGGCTTGGTATCTCACCAGGGACCGAGGGCTCCGTGTCTTGACGGGATGGACTCTCATTAGTGGGGATGGATGGGATTATAGTAGTAGGGCTGGTTGTAGGCTTGGTTTTCTTAATGAAAAAACTTTCAATATTTCTACCTCTCTTCATTTTCCCTCGTTTTGTCGCGTTTATTTTATTTTTCCGTTTCAGTTAGTCAGCTATTTTTAACACACACAACTTAGCGCGGTGAACAGGACCACAGCCAATCAGAGGGAAAGACCCGCCCGAGCTCTGTCTCTTATTGGTTTAGAACACGATATGATCCTACCATGAGTGTGTGAGTTCGGTCACAGGAGAACACAGAGAGATGACGCGCTTGCGAAATAAATTTATGTTTTCACCCGGGCAGTGTCAGGTGCACCAGTGCGACCTAAAAAAATTATTAGTTGCACTCTTAAAAATCATGTGCAACCAAATTGGTCGCACTCTGGAGCCCTGTCAACATCACAAAGATGTTTATGTGCATCTCAGCAGAAGCTTACAACAGAAAATACTGTTTATCAGTTGAAACTGACAGAAGACAGAAATGAGAGATAAGTAAGAGAAATAAACACAGACAGTCAGAGACACAGACGGACGTCTCACCTTTGTCTCCCACTACTCCTCTCTCACCCAGCAGGCCTGGCTTTCCTCGGTCTCCAGCTGGACCTGGTGGCCCTGTAGAGCCTATTTTACCCTGAAGCCCATTTCCCCCTTTCTCTCCTGAAACACATAATCAACCATCTTAATATTCAGCTGAGACCAACAATGCCTTCTCACAAGCCAAAATCAGATTGTTTCAGTTTCTTTATCAGAAGATTTTATTTTGAGACTGCTGTCCCTCTTTAAAGGTCCAGTGTGTAACATTGAGGAGGATCTAGATAGGGACATTTGCATTTTTCATATGTTTTGCGGCCACCATAGTTTAGAGGAGGGGGAAGCCAGGGAATTGCAATCTGCTACTACACCACTAGATGCCTCTAAATCTGACACATTGGACTTTTAAGTCAGGGGTTCCCAAACTTTTTCATGTCTAGGACCAGAAGAATAGATGAACATTAGACCCACTGAAAACCACTGGTTTAAGTGACTCAATTAACCTGAGCTGGTTCTGTGTTTTATTTTATTGGTGTGACTGTGGTGAAATCTGTTTTTCTAAGCAGAGGGAAATACCAAATAATTAGTATCTTCATATACCAGATACATGCATAGATTATCATCATGACCTGGTCCCCCTCCTAATTCTCACCTTTGGGTCCATTAGGGCCAAATTCTCCATCGAGGCCAGGATCTCCAGGCTTCCCGGGGGGGCCAGGTGGTCCTCGGAAGCCCTTATCTGGGGGAGGTAAAGTGGGACAAGGGGAGACTCGTCCCTTCTCCCCCTTTGGACCCATTGGTCCAAGTAATCCCTTTTGTCCTTGAGGCCCAGGGGGACCGGGACAACCTTTAGGACCTGGATCACCAGGTATTCCCATCAAACCTGGAGACCCCGGCATACCTAAACACACACACAGACATGACTATTTGACAGTTCGTGATAAACTGTTAATTAGCTAATTATTAAACCATTACAAAAGTCAACAACATTGGGCAGGAAGACACTTCTGAAGCACTCTGATGGAGTCATACTGTGAAGAACTGTCAACAGTAACATGTCGGGTATCTTTATATAAAGATATCTGAGATACTTTGAGAGAGTCTGACCGTTCGATCCTGGATTTCCCATAATGCCTGGCGGACCTCTTGGGCCTGTAGATCCCTTTGAGCCCTTTGGCCCCCGACACCCTGGGTCCCCATTGTCCCCATCATCCCCAGGTACCGGAGGGTTTGGACCTGGATCTCCCATGTCACCAGGACAACCTGAAACACCAAACAAACGTCAGAAGACATCCAGTGTAAATAAATAGGTCAGTTCCTTAAACCTGAAGATTAAATTCTGACCTGGATCTCCATCTTGTCCGGGAAGACCAGGATCTCCACAAGGCCCTGGGATTGGATTTTTACAGTCTGGTCCAGGTTTACCTGGAGCTCCACTACCACCTGGAGGACCTACAACAACACATACAGACACATTACTGACAGAGAGTCAAACTAAATGTCCGATCTTTAGACGGATCTGTACATCTGCAAGTCATATCTTGACCCTGATTGGAACCACACTGCTACAGACCTGCGGGTCCTGAGGGGCCTTTGGGTCCTGGGGGACCAGACTGGGATGGGCCTTTGGGTCCTGGAGGACCCGGAGGACCCTTATCTCCTGGTAGACCTTTACAACCCGAAGGACCTGGTAGACCCAAACCTAAAGGGACGGAATTTATCATTGTGACTCTACCAAACATTATTGACGACCCTGAGAACTTGACCCTGGCCCACTTGAAATCTGATCCTCCTTTAGCTAGTTGAAACTTTACATTTTCCTGTGATATTGGGCTACAGTGATAATAAGAGTAATTAGGGAGTGTTAGGTTTTAGTGTTAGTATGTGTTTGTGAGAGAGACTCGTACCTCTGGTCCCCATGTCCCCTTTCACTCCTTTCAGCCCGTCCAGTCCATGAAGTCCCAGTGGTCCAGGAGGACCTGATGCAACAAAATCATTTATAAGAACCAAAGATGACGATTTCTCCTCCGCAAAGGAACTACTCATCATGAGCTTTTATTTTGATAGGCAGCTTCAGACAGCAGGAAGAGGTGGAGTGAGGTAAAAATGTGGGGGTAAATAGTCTGGGGTCTAACCTTAACAGTAAATTCTACTTGACAATCTCTCTGTTACTAGCCATAATAATATAACATGGCTGACATGACAGCAGTTCTGAGTTTGAGTTCTGACCTTGGAGTCCCGGGCAGCCCGGTGGCCCTGGAGGACCATCAGCTCCCGCTATACCAGGAAGACCTGGACGACCCGGGCGACCTCTGGGACCTGAAGGACCTGCCACACCTGAAATAAACGAGACGAACAAACAGGGTTAGGGTTGGGGAAGGAGCCACACCCACTTTATAACTGAAATTACTAGTTCCACTAATAACAATATGCAGACTACATATGACATAACAAAGGTGTAAAGTCAAGTGAGCTTCTTTACCTGGGTCACCAGGGTCTCCCTTGTAACCTGGATCTCCTTTGCATCCTTTCGGTCCTGGACTCCCAATGAAACCGGGTCCACCAGGATACCCTGGCAGTCCAGTAGGTCCTGAGAGAGAAAAACAGTCGGTTCATCTAGAAACTCACCTGATGGTTTATACTTGATAACTTCATCACACTCAATAACAGAGATAAAAACTCCTGTCATGTCAGAACCGGAACCAGATGATCACCTGGGGGCCCAAAGTCTCCTGGAGGCCCCTTGTCTCCAGGTGGACCGGAACAACTGACAGAGTCTCCTTTATCACCTGAAATACAAACACACATGTTATGCAACAACCTGTGCAGTAAAAGATCAGAACCTTTGTATATACAGTAAATGGTCCAATAAATCTGCTGGGCCATGGTAGTGAGTTGGGTTAGGGGTTAGTTCCTACCTTTGGGACCAGTACATCCTCGGCCACCAGGTTGTCCAGATGGCCCTGGACATCCAGAGTCTCCCTGCAACCAAAAACAAGAACAGATCAATATTTTTGAACATTTTCTGAACAACAGACAAAGGTTCTTTGGTTCTAATATTTAGTCTTCTGTTACCCCTGTGTTTTTAATTTACATAATGTACACATACGGTTTGTTTTGTACTGACTCTTGTGTATTTGTTGAGTTTCATGTATTTAATGGCCCATTCAGGGACGGGAGTGGAAAATAAGCTTAGGCTATAAATGTTGTGGTGTGTGGCATTTGTTTATGTTACATACAATACAAATAAACAATAATATAAAATAGATGCGCTTGCTTGGGAAATGTTAGTTGACAAACAGCTAGCTAGCTAGCTAGCCAGCTAGTGTAACGTTTGTAACAATAGCTAACACTGGAGACGTTTATTGTGATGTATTGACGTGACTCTAGCTAATGGCAAAGGAAAGCGTTTTTTAGTAGGAAGCAACTCAGAACTGGCTCTAGGTTTGCGTTGGTGGAAAGGGGGTATGTTTGTGGTTTTGGAGACTCTTTTTGAGACCTCTTTAACAGCTCAAACATACTCAACGTAGTTTTACCAGCTTCACATGACAGGATTTTTCTTAGGATTGGGTTGAGAGGTTAGGGTTGTTGAGGGTCAAAACCTGATTTTGAACTGATGACATGTTTCCAAAATCACAACAGTACTTAAATACAGTGGAAGTTCCTCTGCTTTATATATGTGAATTATTGGTATGCCATTCATTGGCTGGTTAATGAGGAACAAGTCATTAAGAAAGTGGTCAATATGATCAACATGATTGACTGACAGATAATCATAAACTAATCATTACATAATCTTTTATTGAGTAATTTGTCTGTTCTTTAGTAACTCATCATTATCGATTACTACTAGTACTCTGTTACTAGTTACTAATTACTAACAGTACTCTGTTAGGAATTATTTGGGAAGTACTTATTAAAGATGATCAATTATCAGGTTGTTTCTGATTCGTTCTTCACGTGTTTCTAAATTAAATAATCATTAACTAAACATTAGCTACTCGATAAAATGTAATTAGTTATTCATTAACTAATTGTTCACTAGCTGGTAACTACTCATAATTTTGTGTCCCTTTTGTTGTGTAACAGCTTTTTCTGAACTACCGTCTTGTGTCCCACATATAGATCTCTCTCTCACCAAACTAGCATTCTCTTCTAATCACATGCTATCCCATACAAATCCCTGTCACAGGCAGCTGGAGTGACTGAACAGTACACCTGTACAGGTGTGACGAGCGACTCTGCGTCCTGTTGGACTTTCAGGTTAAGTTTCTGTTCTCACACTCTTTGATATCTGAATGAGTAATCTCTGATTATAAAATCAACTTCTATCTTACTGGATCTCCGGTCTCTCCGGGGAAGCCGATGAATCCACGGGATCCTGGAAATCCAGGTGGTCCTGGAGGTCCTGGTTTGTTGCAGGTCCCGGGCGGTCCTGGGAGACCTGGTAGGCCAGGGGGTCCATTGATGCCTGGATAACCCGGCTTACCAGAATCTCCTCGTACACCTTTATTTCCTGTAGGGACAGTGTTTCATGTTGAAAGGTTCACTGGATGATCAGACTGACAAAATCAAGCTTTTCATGTGGTTCGGGAAATAGCCACAGCCTTGCATTCTGACAAAAGGTGTCACCATCTCCCTCCTACTCAAATTTTGTATCTTACCAATCAAAGAACTGTACCTAGCGTAGCTTTGTGGGAGCTTAAACTGTGCAGGAGTACAAACGTCTAAACTAGACTCAAACAGACTTTGACTTCTTGTAGGCATATGTGTTGCCCCATCAGGTCAAGAAGAGTTGCATCCTATAGTTCCTTTCTAGTCTTCTGACCACTCAAAGTGCTTTTTCAATACATGCAACATTCCTACAGTGATGCACAGCATCGGAAGCAATTTGGTGTTTAGTATCTTGCTCAAGGACTTTGACATGCAGCAATAGAAGCCGGAGATCGAACCGTCAACCATAGTGATTAGTGAATGATCCACTCTACAGCCCTAGTCTAAGTACTGTCAAGTTTTCAGAATTTTGGCATCGTACATAATATTGTTGCCAGGTAAACAAGTATTAACCAATTATTTCCAAACTGTCTTGTTAAGAAAAAGTGCTGGAGTCACTGGTAAATCAATAACTGCACACCTTTATCTCCATGAATAACATTCCAACCCTGGTTCAACTGGGTACCACATGGGCCCTTCTAGTGGTCTAGTTCTCTCACACATGATGCTTTTGATACCATGGAAAGGGAACGAAGTCAAGACTTCAAATATGGTCAGAGATCAACAGCTCTGACCTCGTGGTCCAGGAAAGCCATTGAGGCCAACGGGTCCTGGTGGTCCTCTTTGTCCTTTGATGGGGATGCACGTGGTATCTCCTGGAGGCCCCGGGTGCCCTTTACAGCCTGCAGGGGACACAGATGGGAGAGAGAACTGATGTTACTGATATAGTTTTTATTCAGACTCTATGACACTCAGACTCCTTCATTGTATTTACACTGGCAGTTTATCACAGTACTGCAGTAGTATCACTCAGTGTTTACCTTTCTCACATCCTGGAGTATTACTGTAGTAGTGCTACATAAAGTAGTACTATGGTGGTTCTACAGCAGTACTGTAGTGCCGCTCAGTGTTTACCTTTCACTCCTTTCGGGCCTTCACATCCTGGTGTTCCATCTTGTCCGCTCAACCCTCTCTCGCCCCTCGTCCCAGAGGCTCCAGGGGCCCCAGTCTGTCCGGGGATCCCTGGCCTTCCGTACAGACCCTGGGGCCCCATCAGACCTGAGACACACCATGAGTATTTCTGTGAACCTCTGTTGTCAGGAATCATTTAAACACAGATGTGCTGGTGGGAGGAGCTCACCTTTCTGACCGATTGGCCCTGGCAGCCCTGAGTCTCCATTGAGGCCAGAGGGACCCTGTGGCCCCGGGTACCCTGGGAAACCTGGAGAGCCCGGTTTACCTTGAGGGCCTTGAGGGCCAAAGCCTGGAGAACCCTCCTCTCCAATCTCACCTTTCTCCCCCATAAAACCTGAACAGAATGAAGAAATGACATCACATTACTTAAAGTAAAAAAAAAAAGGAAAAGTAACATGGAGTAAAGAAAAAAGTTAAATTAAAAGTAAAGTGATATAAAAACAATGTACCTGGGGGTCCAATGGGTCCCAGAGGGCCATACAGGCCCCTGGGACCAGGTTTTCCTGAATCACAGAAGTCAGGTGTTGGCCCAGTGGGACCAGGTACACCTGGGGCCCCATCCTGTCCTCTCTGGCCCTTCGTTCCTGGGTCCCCAGACAGCCCTGAGACTCCTTCACAAACACAGAAAATAATTATGAATAAATGAAAGAATGATTTCACTGCTTCAGCACAGATCAACACATCCTGAATTCACTTCTCCTCCTTTTTTAGTTTGAATCATCATCTTATTGTTGTTGGAAAGTATCTTTTAATTCAAATTCTGAATTTTACAGTTTTTTAAGCTTATTACATTAAATATATTTATAACATTCACTAAAATGGATGGATCAATATATTGAGTCATTCACCTTGTAGTCCGTCAGTTCCAGGGGGGCCAGGGACTCCTTTAGGTCCCTGAGGGCCCACTGGCCCTGGGAAGCCAATGGGTCCTGAGGGCCCGACTTCCGAGTCTCCTGCTGGGCCCCTCAGTCCAGAAGAGCCCGGGAGCCCCGGAGAGCCTGGTAGACACACATATAGACACACTGTAAACCCAGCTGATAAAGAGGCTACAGGCTTCCATCCATCTGTGAGCTGATCACAGTTAAAGGACTGCAGGATTCAGTGCCACCTAGTGGTGAAGTTACAGATTGCAACCAACTAAATACTGCTTGTATTCCAAGTCATGATTATTCCAAAAGAACAAGGTGACTTTTTTCACTTTTACTCAGAGGAGGAAAATTCTTCTACCTTTTTACATTTTTGAAATTTTTTTATATAATTTTTTTATCATTTTACCTTTTCCTGAGACCAGCATGTGTTCGAGTTTAAGTGAGTTTTAAACATTTAATTGCCATGAAGTAATTGGATAATGGTAGCTATATGTTTGTTGTTGGATTTTGGACATTTAAGTGCATCAAGTGAGTGATGAGTGATATCCTGCTCCACTCACATCAAGTTCCCACCACAAAAACAAAAAGCTCCAAAGTTTGTTTGTACCCGTTGAAAATGTTATACCACGATTATTCAGGCCAAAACAATTGCAATATAATCCCAATAATCATCAAAGTCTCCTTACAAACTCTTAAAATAGCACTAAAACATATTTGAATATTTGCCTTAGAGTTTGTTAAGAAACAAATATTTTTATTGACCCCAACTGTGAACCAATTGTGACGTCACCCGTTGGTTTGTGGAGAACTGTTTTGAAGCCTCCAGTTTGGCATTATGGTCGATAACATGACAGTTTGTCACAGCCAGCAGAGGTGACCTACAGCGGGTTGAGCTGCTCTCATTGGCTGCTCTTGGTTTGGAAACAATGGCGGCTCGCCTGGTCACACAGGATCTGATATTCCAGATAAACAGTAAAATATGTTTGTAAACAGATTTGAGGAGAGAAATAGTCAACAACAGAATCTGGATCCATATCTGATCAGCACTGCCTAGTTTGGCAGTTGATTGAGCAAGCCGAGCCTTCAGCAATGGTGATGAATTTTGTAAAAAGTGGAAAGATGTGGTTCCCCCTTGTGGCAATTCAAAGTAAATCCCTAAATCCACATAGGACTTAGCAAGTTGGGCATCTTTTTCAGGTCAAGCTATGTGAGGATATTCAAGATTATTCCGATAAAAATTATTTTTAATCCCGATAACATCGTACATCATCCCATTCCTAGTGACCGGACCCAGATCACTTCTTCTACAGAGTCTAATTCAATACAATTCAATTCAATTTTATTTGTATAGCACCAATTCATAACAGAAGTTATCTCAGGACTCTTTTCAAATAGAGCAGGTCTAGACCGAACTCCTTAGTCTCTGTGCAGTTGATTTGATCCGATTGCTGTGATCAGATTCATCAAAAAACAAAAACAATCGTAGCAACAGGAAAATCGACCAAAGTCTGATTCAACCGGACTAAACAAGACTTAAAACGGGTCAAAATTGACCATTTTGGTGTCATCTGGAATGACGAAACTATTGAAATAAGATTTAAAGTAACCACTGTAAACAGATGATGACCGTCTGAATCACAGACCGACAAACAGGTGACTGTACCTGGATCTCCACCATAACTGAAGCCTTCAGGTCCTTCTTCTCCGACATCTCCAACAAAACCTGGGGGTCCTGCAGGAGGAGGTTAGGGTTACCGTAGGGCTACTGTATGTAAAGATAATGGTAGCAATAATGCTTTTTGCATATATGGATCGTGTGAAGGACAGGTGTGGTTCAGGTGTGACGGCTGTGCTCTGGTACCTTGCCGTCCAGGTAGTCCACGAGATCCAGAATATCCTTTGTCTCCTTTAGTTCCATCAGGTCCAGTGATGCCACGGAAACCTGGAGGACCTGGGAGTCCTGTGAAACCTGGAGAGATGGGCAGGTGAACCAAAAGGTGGGCAGGAGGTCAGGCAGACAGGTGAACATGAAGTCAGACAGACAGATGTTAAAGATGGTGTTTACCTGTATTTCCAGTGTCTCCCTTCGCTCCGGTGGCGCCAGGGTTTCTGGGTATGCAGGGAAGAGTGTCACCTACAGGAAGAGCCGGAATCAAACAGGAAGTGCGAAGAGTTACAGACAGTTTAAAGAAGGAGTCGGGGAAAGAATCATGGAATTTTGGGAAAAGTGACAAATATCTTAATTTAAAGTTGACTTCCATGTCTACCTCTAGCCCCCTTTGGCCCTGGAGGGCCAGGGAGTCCTGGTGATCCTGGGTTTCCAGGGGCTCCACGCTCTCCTACTGCTCCGACTACACTTGGCCCTGTGGGACCTGAAGGTCCCAGTAACCCCTTTGGCCCTGAGAGTCCTGGGAACCCTCGTTCCCCAGGAAAGCTGGAGAAACTGTCACCCTAAAAAGGTTTATTGATTAATTGATGAGAGGGAGTCAGAACAACAGCACCAGTGACCCCTAGAGGCTGCATTGCTCATTACACCCACAACAAACAAACTTGGGCTGCCTCCGAGTGAAGATGTTTTAAAGATATTTGACTAGCCGTTGCACGTTTAAGATATTAATTGTCAACCAAATTAATTAATGAATTCCCACAGCTTTGGCCTTTAGCTTAACATTGCCAGCAGCTAGTTCAATGCACATAGCTTCCAAGGTCGTGCCATTTCTCTGTGAGGCCTTCAGTTACTCAGCTGTTCTTTGTAAAAGTTAAGAAGAGAATTATCAGGTGTAAAGAGTACAAGTGTGTCTCTTAACGGGAGTTAAACACGTCTACTTCTCAGCCGCCATTTGACAAAAGTCCTTGTCACACCTATTGTGAATAATTTATAGGAAATTAAATGTGTTGGTAGCTATTCTTCAATAAAAACGAGTCTACATACTGCAGTGAGGAAGGTGGCTGTGTTTTTTTGTGCTTGAACCGCCATGAAAATAATGTTCGTCAAACCGAGTCTAACCAAGCCAGCACGTGTGTCTAGAAAAGTGTTACTGGAGAGTGCGACTGACCTGGGGGCCGGGGTTTCCAGGGGGCCCTGGAGGCCCATTGAGTCCTCTCCTCCCTGATAATCCTGGTCTGCCTGCAGGGCCCTGCTGGCCAATGTTTCCTTTTTCACCTGGAGACAAAAGTCCAATCAGACTCATTGATACACTGACATTATTAATTCAAAGGAATTAGTTTTCCTGACTTCTGCCTGAACACAATTACTGTTTTTTATTCAAATGTATTTAGAGAAAAATGTGGGCAATAAATAACATTTATTGAGCCAAAGTGGCTCAGATCCTCACACTGCTAACACATCAACTCTGAGGACCAAATGTTCAATGTCTGCCTGATATACCCCCCCACTGACAGGAGCCCTGAAAACCAGATAATCAGAGTTACTGACAGTGCTCACTGTGTTATGGCTGATAGGTGTAAGTACATAAACACATACAGTAAACATTCAACATTTACATTCAAGGGGAAAATATTTTTAATGTCATTTTAAATTAAATTAATTAATTAAATGACTGTACCGCAAATTGTTTATATATTGATTTGTAGGTGTTCGATGCTTCTCACCTTTAATATCCACCACAGTGAATTCTCCTTTCTGACCTTTGAACCCTTTGACACCTGGAAATCCACCCAGACCCTGCAAACAAATCAATCAACGAATCAAACAAAACAACAGTCTTTGTGCTTCATCTGGCTGCTGATGTGACCTCTGACCCTGTCGTCCGGTGACTCACCTGCTGTCCTCGCTCTCCTGTGTCTCCAGTTAAACCCTGATCTCCTCTCAGCCCCGGGGCCCCCGGGGATCCTGGGAATCCCGGAGACCCCGTTGAACCTGCAGGGCCCTGGATACCCTTTAGGACAATCGGGGGGCCACAAGCACAGTCACCACTACTACCTGAAACACAGGCAGATTAAAAAACAGTTATATAAATGTCAATAAGTTCCTCAGGGAAACATCCTGGAGCCGCTGTTCTTTTTATTATGGTCCATAAAGACATAATTCAATCAGTCAATCAAGATTTCAGTCACTATGTCCAGACACTGACCTTTCAACCCTTCGAAGCCCGGCGTACCCGGGGGCCCTGGTACACCTGCTTCCCCTGGCATTCCTGGGAACCCTGGAAGACAGTAACTACCTGAAAAGGAAACAAAAGGAAGTCAGCGGGACGACAACAGGAAGTAATTATGACATCACCAGGTGTGTCTGAAGGCACAGATGTAAGAGACTATGTTCTCATGTACCTGGAGCCCCCGGTTCTCCTTTAAGTCCTCTGGGTCCAGGTCGTCCTGGTTTTCCAGGTTCTCCAGGTGAGGGTTTGCCTTTAAACATCTGACCTGGATCTCCTGTTTCCCCTTTTAATCCTGGAACTCCCCTCAGTCCCACAACACCCGCCGGACCTGAAGAGGAACAACCGAGAATAATAATAATAATAATAATAATAATAATAATAATAATAATAACAACAAAAATAATAATAATAACACAATAAACATTTATTTGATAAAAGTTTGTTTTTTTCTCTACAGTGACTCACACTCACAGTAAACTTTTTCTGTCACTGCTGTACATTCATTCAAAATATCACTACATGTGATGCTGCCTTGCTCATTGGCTGCAGGGTACTGACCTGGTAAGGATCTGCCGGGGGCTCCTAGGGGCCCGTGCACTCCCATCAGCCCCAGGTCTCCTGGGGGGCCTCTCAGTCCAGAGGGCCCAGGGTTTCCAACTTCACCTGGAAGACACGGGGCAGGTAGCTGACATCATACAGGAGTGATGACATCATACAGGAGTGATGACATCATATCAGACTGATGACATCATACAGGATGGTGACATCACACCAATCCGACAGTATTTGAATATCAGTGTATTGATCCATACCTGTGTGTGTGATGTCTGCGTCCTGAGGGAGACCTTTAGGACCAGGATCTCCCATCGTGCCCTGGGAACAGACAGTGTTACAGGTGAGTTCCTTCATGCTGCAGCTGTTCTTCCTGGTTCCTGTATTTACCTGTATGTGCTAAAACAACTGACCTTAGGGCCTTCTCGTCCAATCAGACCTGGCAGACCTGGACTTCCTTGAATCCCCTGAAAAACACACACACACACACACACACACACACACACACACACACACACACACACACACACACAGACACACACACCATTAAATCCTGGTTTCATCTCAGTCAATAGTCGACTCTTTAGTATTCACGTTTGTTTCTTTCTTTCTTTTAACTCGAGGTTCATCTCCCAACAAACATTTCCAGAAACACACACACACTCATACACACTCCATATACTCGAACACAGCTGTACATTTATAAACTAACGCACACATTCTGCATTAATTCAATGTATGTTTCTCTTTCTGTGCTTATATTTAATTATTTTATCAGATGTAAGTTTGTGTTTTGTTGACCCACCTTGAATCCTGTCTCTCCGAGTGGCCCAGGGTTACCAGTAAATCCCTAAAACACATAAACGCTTTGAGTCAAAAAGTTAAAAATACTGTAAAATCTGTTGGTTGGTTAAAAAGCTAAAATAATGTTTATTGTTGTTTGTTGTTTACTTTATTCTTTATTGTTAACTCTCTGCAGTCTCCACCCACGTACCTGGGGAACTCGCGGCATATTTTCTCACTGCATCATTTTTCTGATTATTTCTCTACATTTTTCAGGTAAACAACACAAACACGTCCAGACCAACACTCGTTTGGAAACTCTCTCTCATAATGAGAAACTATTTCACCAAAATTCTGAAAACGAGGCGAGAAATAATCTGCAGAGTTGAATCCGTCTTCATTTTAGATTGACAATTAGTTGTTTGAAGAGGCGGCGAGCTACCAGACACTTCTGATTTTCATAAAGTAACCTCGACCTCAACGTTATGCAGATGAGAACCGACCAATGTGGCGCCCCCTCTCTCAAATGTACCATCGCTACCAGAATGCATTTCACATCTAAGAACATTTTAGTGGGACACTGCTAATACTGATCAATAATCAAGATGAAGTGAAGATGGAGGGTTACTCACCCTGGGTCCAGGAAATCCCACAATCCCTTTCTCTCCTTTGATCCCTGGCAGAGCGTCCAAACCCTTAGAGCAATAACAGATCCAGTGTTCTCAATAATCAATACGTGTTCTATAATCTGATCAGTTCATGACGAACCAACAGGTTGTGTCTAAATGTAGAACAAAGGTTATGAAGTAGAACCCCGGAGAACCCTGAACTCTGTGTTCCTTCAGGTTTGATCTGATATCTAAACTTACCGGCAGTCCTTGAACTCCACAGACACCTTTAACCCCTCCAAAACCCTGAAGAACCAACAGAACCCGACGTTAGAACCAATTGAACCAGAATTACAGCAGTACAACAGTATTAGAACAGTATAAAGCTGTGATGTGATTGGCTGTAGCAACCTGAAGCCACACCTACCTTCTCTCCTTTGATGTACAGGTCTTCTGGAGGGTCCACATACTCAAACGGCCCTGGAGGACCCTGGAGGCCCTGATCCCCCTGTTGACCAAACACAGCACTGTGATACTACTACTGTACAGAGCTGCACAGTACTAAACAGAACTACACAGAACTACAGGGATGTTGAAAACTTTTTTATTTGTACCTCGTCTCCTTTCTGTCCGGCCAGAGATCGACCTTTTTCTCCCTGAAACACAAAAACACATCAACGCTTGTGAGAAAGTCACCAGTTATTTCATATATTGATCTATAATCAATAGTGAGCAATCAGTAAAGATGGTTGTGTACTAGTACAGTCTACGTGTGTTTCACTGTAATTACTGTGGATTATATAAAGGTCTCCGAGCTTAAGTCTGTCAGTATTTAAAAAGAAATACGTTGTTTCTCAAGTAAACGTTGGTATTTGAAAGATGACCAATAAAAGCTGAATATCATCATTTATACAACAGACGGGGGGAAGTTAGAAATATAAAAGTACTTCCAACCAAGCAATCTCATTGGCCAACAAGACATTAAGAACGTGATGACATATAAATCTGAAGCTTGAACTGCAGAAATAATAAAAAAATCATACATACTATTATACTTTATATGTATACTTACAGGTGGACCCCTGGAACCAGGCAGACCAGGAAAACCCTGTAGAGACAGACAGATAAAATGAGAAAATAATAATCATTTATATTTTCCATACACAAAAAGTGCTTTAATCAAATAGTATACAGTATATAAAAAATAATTTAAACGGTGGAAAACATTTAAATTCGATAAAACAAATAATAATAATAATAATGTTATGTTCATGTTCACATTTACATATTGTGTGCGTGTGTGTGCTGTGATAATAATTTGTGAATTATCTCCAGAGGAACTCTTAACTAAAATTACATTATTAGTAGTAATATTAATAATGATATTAGTGATTATCAGGTGTGTTCCTGTGTTTGTTGTGACTCACATTGGTCCCGTCCAGTCCTGCAGAACCCGGAATTCCCATTGGACCAGGGAGACCCTGTTCTCCCTGCAGACAGACAATTAAAATGTAATTCACCCCTCAGACCCTGAACACCCCTCAACCCTCCTCTGGTCCTGAAACAGAAGTATTATTCCTTCTGCCAACATGTTGCTGCTTCTTTTTGGTTGTTATCTTCAGTCTTTATTTAGCTTATTATTCTTTTTCTTCTTTCATACTTTCTTGGACAGACATTCTTTGGATGCTAGTTATACGTTTTAAACCGTGTTCAGATCGTCATAACGATGCGTCCGCAGTGAAGATGTCTTACACCAGACGAACGATGTGTGATTTTTTTTTCAGAACAACAGCGCCACCATGTGGTTGTTTATGAAGTATTTTATGTTTTAGCTAATAACCCATGAACAGTTAGGAGTAGAGTGCTGTATATACAGGGCATAAGTCAGTGCTGTAGATGCAGGTCAGAGGTCTATACTGTCTATTTGATTGATATAATAGTTACAATAATGATATTATTAATATGAACTTTATTTATTTTATACGTTTTAGTGAAGTTCAATAATTTGACACTACAATCACACAATTATTCATCAGTCTTTATGTTGCTTATTACTCTTTTTCTTCTTCCGTTATCTTGAACACACTATTCAATTCCGACCGATTTTGGGAAATATCCTGAGATGTGAATCACAAACACTTCTTACTGGGACGGTGGCAGCAGCAGATGCAGCCGTCAAACGCATTTTCATCAGGAAATGCAAAAATTGTAGTTGTGTTTGTTCTCACCTTCAGACCAGAAAGTCCACTCAGCCCAATGTCTCCCTGTCACACACAAAGACCTCGATCAGTATTAGTGTATAGAGCTGCAACGATTAGGCAATAAATTGTGGTGTAACAGAACAGGTACCCTTATAGTACACGTGTACTTACAGGTATTCCGGGGTACTGTATAATGTTGACAGCTCGAGCTCCTCTAATTCCCTTCAGTCCTGGAAAACCCTGTAGAATAAACTGTTGTTACCATGGTGATTACATAATAGTACACTACATATTCTGCAGTACACTGTGTACTTTGTATTACTCATATATCGGTTACATCAGCTAAACAACTTTCACAGGTGTTAAATAGGTTTAAAGAGTTTTTGTTCCAAAATCAACAGAAACGTCTCGTCTGGAGTTTACAAACTCAACACTAATTTTAAGAATATAAATATTAACAGACATAGTAACAGACTCTTAGTTAAAGATACATTTCTCAGTATCCATTAATATTATGATCGATTGGTGACTCGGACCGGTTCTCCATCACGCCCGTATTCTCCAGGAAGTCCAGGATCTCCTCTATCTCCTTTGGTTCCGTTACATCCGTCCAGACCTGGAAAACCAGGACCTCCAGCAGGACCTGGGTGACCCTGAACACACAAACACATGCTCACAGGCTGACTTTTGACCTCATTACATCCAATCAGAACAGCTGAGAGGTTGAGGGGGAGGGGCTTCTTACCGGGATGCCTTCCAACCCTGGAAAACCTGGAACGCCGACACTTCCCTGAAACAACAAACAGTGAAGTTACACATTGAGACCACATGGGGACCGCCAAGACCTGTGATTGGTGTCGGCCATCTTGTCTCCAGAATAAGTTAACAACAGAACCATGGTTCTGACAACAGAGCCGTATTTATTCACCAAGTCTCCTTTCAGTCCTGCAGCTCCCGTCGGCCCCTCATATCCTCTCTGACCCTTCTCTCCTGGAGGCCCCTGAGGTCCTGGAAATCCTGGGGGCCCCTGAGGGCCCTGCCGCCCAAGAGGACCTGGAGGACCCTGCAGAGAACAAATAACACAATTAGAACCCGATACTGTAGAACCTGGTAGAATATGATAGAAACTAACAGAACTTAATGAAACCTGATGGACTCTGATACTCTAGAAGCTGGTAGAACCTGATGGATTCCTCATATGTGAAAACGTACATGGCAATAAACCTGATTCTGATAAACCTGATTCTGGTTCAATCTGTTACTCTAGAACCTGGTAGAATGTGATAAAACCTGTTCAAACCTGATAGAAACTAAAATAACTTATGACCTGATAGAACCTGACAGAATCTGATAGACACTAAGAGAACTCAATAAAACTGGAGAGAACTTGGTGGAACCTGTTCAAACCCGACAGAAACTCAAATAACTTGACAGACTCTGACATAATCTAACATAACTTAATAGAACCTGTTAGAAGCTGAAAGGAAACAATGACCAGCCACCTCCTCACGTCAGTTCTTCAGACTGATTTAGGTAAAACAGAAACCAAAAATAAAAGTAAATAAAGATAAAACATCAAACTGGAACAAACTGTGAGGTTCTCAGAGGAACCTCTCTCAACAGTTATAATGGAACACCCTTGCAGTAACTAGTTTTAACAAGTTTTAAGTTTAGTTTGTTTTAGCAGCTCAAATAACTCACTGCCATTGTTCTGCTGTTCTACTACTGGGGAACACAAATATTGATTATATGTATGAGATTATTTGATATGGACTGATTCATTAATAAATAAGTGGTCATATTTTCTGCCATATGACCCAGTGAATTAATGAACATGTGCGCTTTAGATAGACCAATCACAAACACTGCAGCTTCACCTTCTGCACCAACAGAACCGACAACGTTCTGTTTCCTCCATTGACTGCTGAGATGTTATCTGACCACAGGGGGGCAGTGTGACACCACAACAACAACAACAACATACACACACAGACACACAGACACACACACACACACACACACACACACACACACACACACACACACACACACACACACACACACACACACACAGTGTTTGAACAGCAGCTCAGACAGTCGGATGTTAAATCAGATGGAATTTTCCTTTAAATCAGCAGACATCAAATTAGACTGAAACACACACACACACACACACACACACACACACACACAGTATTATAGTAGTACAATCTGCTGCCGATAATCAATAATACATTGATGATTTTATGTAAAAAGTGATTTACTGATTGAAGTTTGGCTTTTAAAACAAGAATAGAACATTTTAGGCTTCATAATAAAGTCTGAAGAGGTGGACGATACTGAACAACACTTAAATGTTTAATAATCTGATCAGCTGATAATCAATATCTTTGTTAAATAATGGTGAGTCAGAAACCGTCAGATCTATGGAAGGCCTTTTAAGTCATATACATTTAAACTGTGAAATAAAGAATGAGGCGATAAATATAGAAATAAATAGTTAAATAAGTCAATATAGTTTATATATTGGATGTTTATCAAAGGACTAGTTTTATTAATTGTACCATGTCCACATGTTGCAGTACACCTGAATTTACAGGTGTGTTAGATTTTAAATTCAATTAAACTTTATTCATCCCTGTGTCCACATAGATCTGCACACAGCAGAGAGGAAAAGAAGGAAAAATATTCTTAATAACAAAATAAAAACATTCAGCGGCTGAATTGGTAATAAATACATTAACAAATAATCATAAACACGATCAATAACAGGACACACGAGCTAATGGAGCCGTCCTGTTTCTCCACAGCCTGTGTTACCTGAGCAGGTGAGGAGGTCAGAGGTCAGACACCTGTAATTGGACTATAATGTAAACAGATATAAGGGCCTTTGAGTCTCTGCTGTTGGAATGTGATGTAATGGCATCATAGATCATTAAGTATGATTGGCCATGTTGTAAATAAGAAACAAATAAAAAACAAACAAACAAACAAACAAAGTTACTGATTGGTTATTAATAAAGTGTTTTAAGTTGTTATCTGCATACAGCTGCATTTCAGTCTGTTTTAAACCTTTTATTACATGTTTATATACAATTATAAATCATAAAAATGGGACCAATCAATGGACAGATACACTGTCACTGACTGGTATTGATAACTCTGAGGTGAGATCAAATCGATATTGATCAATATTGACCTGCTGGTTTTCCTGCCTGTGTGTGTGTATTCAGTGTGTGTGTGTGTGTGTGTGTGTGTGTGTGTGTGTGTTTACTGAGTGTATGTGTGATGAGATGTGACAGCTGTGATCTCTGTTAGTCCTCTCTCTGTCCTTCTTTCTCTGAATCCACTGAACTGTGAAATCACTGAGACAGAAGCCTTCCCACAATCCTCTCTGCCTGTCTGCCGCCCCCAGCTGTACAAACACACACACTAACACACACACTAACACACACACAGATTGGAGGTCAGTGTTTGTCCGACAGTCTGCACAGATTACAGCAGAATGATGTTTGATTGAAACATTTGTTTATTAAATGGTGCCAAACATCTGGACCACACTGTGGACAGAAACATCTGGACCACACTGTGGACAGAAACATCTGGACCAAACTGACTGTGTACAAACATCTGGACCACACTGTGGACAGAAACATCTGGAACAAACTGACTGTGTACAAACATCTGGACCAAACTGACTGTGTACAAACATCTGGACCACACTGTGGACAGAAACATCTGGACCACACTGACTGTGTACAGAAACATCTGGACCACACTGTGGACAGAAACATCTGGACCACACTGACTGTGTACAGAAACATCTGGACCACACTGTGGACAGAAACATCTGGACCACACTGTGGACAGAAACATCTGGACCACACTGACTGTGTACAAACATCTGGACCACACTGTGGACAGAAACATCTGGACCAAACTGACTGTGTACAAACATCTGGACCACACTGTGGACAGAAACATCTGGACCAAACTGACTGTGTACAAACATCTGGACCAAACTGTGGACAGAAACATCTGGACCAAACTGACTGTGTACAAACATCTGGACCACACTGTGGACAGAAACATCTGGACCACACTGACTGTGTACAGAAACATCTGGACCACACTGTGGACAGAAACATCTGGACCACACTGTTGACAGAAACATCTGGACCAAACTGACTGTGTACAAACATCTGGACCACACTGTGGACAGAAACATCTGGACCAAACTGACTGTGTACAAACATCTGGACCAAACTGTGGACAGAAACATCTGGACCACACTGACTGTGTACAGAAACATCTGGACCACACTGTGGACAGAAACATCTGGACCACACTGTGGACAGAAACATCTGGACCACACTGTGAGGAGTAACAGTGTTACCATGACAACCTTCTGTGCGTCACAAGATGATTTTATCTGTAAACATCTAAAAGATGTTTCTGGAAACAGAAGCTCAGAGTTTATAGGAGAAACTGTGACATCACACTTGTGTGTGTGTGTGTGTGTGTGTGTGTGTGAGAGAGAGAGTGTGTGTGTGTGTGTGTGTGTGTGTGTGTGTGGAATCTGCTGACTCTTCAAGGTAAACAGCTGTTAATTTAACACCAACACATTCCTCCCTGACACTCCTCCATCCAGCAGCTCATTATTACACAGTGTGTGTGTGTGTGTGTGTGTGTATGTGTGTGTGTGTTTACGTCTGTGTGTCTGCGCTTTACGAGCCGACAGTGAAGGTGTCACAGGTCTGTTAACAGAGGAAAGTGTAAGCAGCTGTGATGATGTCATGAAGCAGCTGGGCTCTGATTGGCCGCTGTGTGTGCGTAGTCTCACCCTCGCTCCTTTGGCTGGGAAACACTGACAGGTGGAGCAGTCCCGACCAGCGCACGGCTCCGAATGGTCGCCCTGGAAACCAAGATAGAACACAAACATCACCATGACATTGGTATGACATCACACCATAACCATCATTACATTCCTATGATGTCATCGTCATAACAACAGCACTTTGTGACATCATCTCAGCTCTGATCAGCTCTTAATTGTCCCGTTAAAGTTCGTCACTCGACATACATCAAGTCGTCATTATGACATCAACATGACATCGGCGTGACCTCACCACTTTCTGATGGTAATGTTTACAGACCATAATGAGTAGAGCGGCAGTGTTAAGTCTCCAGACTGCCAGAATACGTTGAGAGCCTCCACCTTATTGTGGTAGAGAGGTTTGCCCCGACCCTGGGAACGATGTCCTCATCTCCAGGTTTGGTTCCCTGAATCAAACCGGTCCCAAGAGTCCGGCTAAAAGCAACTCCAGAACCTTTGTGCAGTTGCAACCTCAGAATTTAGTTACCTCGATCAGATTAGATGTTTCCATCTACACCCCCGAGGCTCAATCCAATTGGGAGGCATGCTGACCGCAGGCTCTGAAAGCTGGTTTTAGAGATATGGATCGACCTCTTTCTGGTGGGTAAGGAGTTGTAGAAACAATCTGCACATATTACTGGCTCTGGGAACAAACTCCTATGAAGCAGCTGGACTCTGGTTTTCAGGAATTGCCCAGGTAGCAGCAGGGTGGGAGGTGGGTGTGGAGACATTGACAAGCTCCCAGAGTGCTGCACATGCTGGTCTTCCGCCAGTGGACTTCATAGTTCTGATAGGAAACAATGGAGAAACCTGTGGGGGGGGGGGGGGCGGGAACCGTGAGCTGCCTCCCTGATCCGGGTCTGAGCTGTGCTTTGTTGTTAGACCTCTGTGCAGGTCATATATTGTCCAACAAGTCACTGATCATCCATAACAAGTCATATATTATCCATACAAGTCATGAACCCCCAATAACAAGTCATTGCTATGAAGAAGGCTGTCAAGTAGAAGCTGGATCTCTAAAGGTCCCTGAACAGTGGACCAGCTGTTTACTCTTGCTGTGGGTGGGGGACTCAATCAGATTCTGTTTGTGATTTTCATCAACAGATTCTAGAGGGCCAGTCATGGTGTGGAGAGTGTCAATGAGGTGATCTAAAGAGTGTATGTCTGGGAACACCTCGGGATCCTCCCGGAGCAACTGAAGGATGCTGCTAGGGAGAAGAATGTATGAGCTACCTTGCTTAACCTGCCATCATGAACTGGAGCAGCTAATGTGTGAATGGGTGAATGTTCAGACTGCAGCAGAGTGAGTTTTGTGTCTTCGGGTGTATTTTCTCCTGCAGTGTGTGTTTTGTTTTTTATGGTGTATTCTCTGTGTTCAGACAGTGAGGAATGTAAACACCGTGGAGAGACAGACAAGCATCTCTGGGATTCTTAGGAAGCAGACAGCTGACTGTGCGTGTGTGAGATCAGATAGTCAGTGACAATCTGAAAATTTCTGACCCACACAGTCTTTCTTTGAACAGTCTGAATGAGGACAGATGTGCAGCAGCCTCAGATATGGATCAAACCGACAGAGCTTCAATTAGTCCCATTATTTTTTCTCATTTTAATGCTCTTATCAACATGGAAAAGTGGATCGGCTTGCTTTGTGCAAATGTTGTTTTTATTGAAAACAACATTGGCATATAGTGTAGTGTTCAATTTCACACTAACATTCTCACTTGGAGCAAATAATCTCTCACACAATGTAACTAGTTGTTGCAACAGCATGTGAAAAAAACTACAAAGTGTGCTAGGTCAAAAAGAACGTTAATCTCGCGATTAAAAAATTGACGCCGTTAAAATGGGTTTGCATTTATTCCGTTAATAACGCGTTTAACTGACAGCACTAGTGTTAATTAAAGAATACTCCACTGTATGTTTTTGGTTCGTCTGTTCTGGGTTAGAAACAAAGCAGACGGTGAAAACGTCTTAATCTAAGGGAACAAAAACACAATTCTTATTTTCAGGTGATTATACACTAATGAAAACATACCTGTTAATATTATATTACATTTCTGACAATAGATCCTCCTCAATGTTACACACTGGACCTTTAATCCCAACAAGTAACCAGTATCATGAATCATCAATTTCTCACATTTAATGCACATTACATTGTTTACTAGCAGACGTCTCCAAAAGCAGCGACATCCATCAGTGACCAATGAGGTATGTTTTTGCTCCCACAGTCAAGATGAAAATAACAAAAACAAGAATTTATTAATCTCATATGGTGTGTTAACTTTACTAGATCATAACATATTTATTATGGAACTAATCTGAAGATGCTCCGGTTCCAAAGCAAACCAAACTCTTTTTTATGGATCAGTTTTGGGCCACGACCATACACAGTAAAGCTAATTGACAGACACAGACGTGTCTTAAACCTGAATTATGATCAGTCATTATAATTGGTCAAAAGCCAAAAGAGCTGCAATAAACGACCAATAGCATGCAGTCTTATAGAGAAATGGGCAGATGATTTATTATTTCAGTAACAGTTTCCTGGAGAATTTCTGGTCTCAGTCTCTAGTTTCAGTCTTTTTCCATACAGCATGATGTTCATTTAGTAACTGATGGTCCCATTTAGAGTAAAACAGACCATAAAGCAGGGTATGCTTTAGGGCGGGGCTACCTTGTGATTGACAGCTCATTCTCAGTGAGTCCGTCCAGCTCAACGCACCAAACTCAGATTAAACTGTCAAACTAGGCAGTGCTGATCAGATATGGATCCAGATTCTGTTACTGACTATTTCTCTCCTCAAGTCTGTTCACAAACACATTTTACTGTTTATCTGGAATACCAGATCCTGTGTGAGCAGGAGAGCCGCCGTTGTTTCCAAACCAAGAGCAGCCAATGAGCATAGAGCAACTCGCAGTACGTCACTAAGATCTACAATGGACTAGGTATAGCCTTGTTTTTATCCTAGACTCCTACCGGCTGTTTAAGCGGAGTGAGGAGTCAGCAGTCTGTAGAAAACAAGATGAAAAAACTGGGTCTTAGAGGCTTTTTCAACATTGTGAATCACTGCAACCACAAAAGGTCCTTGAGCATACAGTAATAAATGAGCATGAGGCTGATTGATGCAGCAGTGTGCGAGATTAGCTGGGGACAGATAAGTGCACGGACACATGGACACACGACCAAACTCATGGTGAATAAGTTTGTTGATGAACAGCTACTTGAGTTCATGTGATGGTTCTGAGGGAGAACATCAGGTAGGGAACCAGTGTTAAAAACCTGACGCTGACTGTCCCCCCTTCATACATCCCACACTGAGGGTCCCTGTTGATACACTGAGTGTGTTTTTTTTTTTCTCTGTGGGCCCCAGACGGTGAGTTTCCCAGCATGCAGCAGTGTTTGTGTAGCATCCACATTCCTACAGCGTTGTGTAAACCAGGTTATCAGTCAGGCGTGGCTATCTGCAGCAGGAATGTGGCTATCGCTCTATCTGCTGTCACGAGTTTGTCCTGAAAGTCTGCGCTCGCACCATCCTCCCTTCATCAGTCCTCCATTTATCCTGCAGCATCGCTCTGTCTGACTCTGTTCTGTACTCATCTGAACTTCCACCACCCTTCATCCAGCCTCCATCAACCCACAACTCCATCAGTCCTCCATTCTCCATCTGCAAACCCACTAACATCCATTAATCCTCCATCCATCCCTCAATCATCCCATCCTTTTGGGACACCATGCTGCCACCGATTGGCTGAACAGACAGGGGAGCAGCTGATTGGCCGACTGTTCACAGACAGTTTGAACCCAACGACCTCAACAGGATGAAGAGACTGAAGAGAAATGTTTCATCTGTTCATCCGGGATCATTTCACCATCATCCCTCCATCACAGCAAGATTCTTTACATCAATCTCTTGTGTTTCAATAGTTGAACCAATAAAAGTCAGAGGGCGTCCCACCTAAAGCAGGTGATTCAAAGACACTTTGAGAGTATTTTTCTCTTAAATGGTTCTTCAGAAGGCTCATAGAGCCATCAACAACTGAAGAACCTCTTTACTTACAGGATGGTTCTTCTACATACTTTATGTAGTTCTTTGAAGTAATAAAGTTTCATCATCCTTATTGGATCTATTTGGTGGTACATAAGATTAATTAAGACTACGACTAATGATCATAGATTAATCGGCAACTTATTTTCTCAATTAGACAGATTGTTTGGTCTATACAGGGAAAAAAAATATTTACAATTTGAAGTTGAAACCTAGAAATATGACCAACAGCCTAGGACCCAAAATATTAACTGTATTATATCAAGCCAGGGTCTTTCTCATGGTGGGAACTGTTGGGTCTAGACCTGCTCTATTTAAAAGTGTCCTGAGATAACATCTGTTATGAATTGGCGCTATACAAATAAAATTGAATTGAATTGAATAATGGAAGACCCAGAAATGCATTATACATTTTTGCTTTAAAATGCTGACACCTTAAAAAATATCTCTCAGCGACAGCTCAGACTCTAAGTTCTTCTGCTTCTGAAGCTGTATGAACTACCACCTGGTTCCTGAACAGGGAGGAGAGGTAAGCATTTTCACTGTAACTGTTCGTCCGTTGCTTGGTTTTGCAACATTCCTGAAATGGGCTCTGATCTTACAGCAGTTAACTATGTTATAGCATTGTGTGGTTGTTAATGTCTTATGTCGTGTTTGCAGAGGCAAAGTTAAGTTTTCTAGTAAGTTAAATTGCCATCTGTTGTCTGTGAGTTCAGTAAGTTAGTCACAGTAGACGTGCTAAAATAGCCGTAATCTAGCTTTAACAACAACAATGCGTCTCTGTGGCTTCTAAAATGTCAGTTAGCTACACCATGACGCATGCTTGCTGAAAAGTGCGATGCAAAGCAGGAGAGGACATTGTGTTTAGCTTTTCATGTACTACACAGGAGTATATTGCCCGTTTATGGACTATAATAATAATGTATTGATTAGCTACTGTATAATGAGCACTGTCTTCATGAAGACAAAATTGGACATTGGACTTTTTCTGACATTTAATAAATTAAACTAATTCAATAAAATAATTGATGGATAGCTTTTTTGTGCTTTTATTGACAGGACAGCTCAAGATAGACAGGAAAGGGCAGAGAAAGAGAGAGAACCACTCACAAGCTAGGCCATACACTCAACCCAGACTGATCATCTTCTGACCTGCAATATTGAAATAGTTGATGCTTGTCTGTAAGATCATAGCGATGTTTTATTTGATGCACCTTTCAAGGACAAAGTAAAGGACATTAGAATGAATTTTCTCCTCCCCACCCGTGACCTGGCTGTTTCACTGGTCTGTTCATCTAAATTGAGCTGCTTTCTTCCCGTCATGCTACCCTCTCTGACTAAAATTGTGTCCACCATGAAACCTGCAACCTGCCCAATTGATATTGTCCCCACTGCCCTCCTGAAGGATGTCTTTTACATAACCGGACCCAGCATCCTCTCTATTATCAACAGATCCCTGTCCACTGGTACCGTTCCCACCTGCTTTAAGTACGCAGCGGTCCAGCCCCTCATGAAAAGCCCAGTTTAGGCCCCACCCCGCTTGCAACTTCAGACCAATTTCTAAACTTCCATTGCTGTCAAAGGTTCTCGTAAAGGTTATTTTCAGTCAACTGCTTCCTGACCTAAATCACAATACAAACCTTGGGGCACTGACTGCAAATACTCTGTCCTCTTTAGTTTTCAGCCAGATAAAAGACCTCTGCCCGAGGATCTCAAGGTACGAGGTGGTGTGTACGGTATTAAACGGTCTGACATACAGCAGGGGGAGAGACCATGTAGAGCCTTAAAAAAGGCTCTGAAGACGTTCCGCTTCTGAAACGCTCACAGTGGGATCTGAAGACAAACGGATCTCAGAGCCAAACCGCGACGCAGACGTCACATCTGGTGACACCTGCTCATCATCAACAACACACCTGCCTGCCATAAAGCTCTCACCAACACCTTCAAGACCTCTGGACTCACAGCCAGTCCCTGCTGGATCATAGCTCCAGTCCATCTTGCCATCTCAAGCCCGTCATCCAGCTCCCATCCCTGGAATCCCCTCTCCCAAGCCTCCACTTGGATTCCCTCCCCCTTACCTCAGCCTCAACCTCCAGCCAGCCACCATCACACTGTTTCTCCTGGTATTTACAATAGAAGACTTGTGTTTTCATGTAATCTGCTTATCTGGCGTCTGCATCTGGGTGCAACCTCAAAAAGATGAGAGACACCACACCAAGGAACCAGTATTCAGTGGAAGTGCTGGAGAGAAAACTGCTTCAATGGAGATTAGGACCATCTCATTATTCAAGTTCTCGAGGTCTGTGAACATCTGTCAACGTCTGTAACGCACAAAGCCAGAGTTGCGTGTGTACAGTTTGTGTTTACAGTCTTTAAATTGTGCTCAATTTGACTGTTTAATCGACGGCAAAATTAGTTGCCAGGGACACCCTGAGCTGGGGGGCGACTCATCGCGACATAAGGACAACATAAGGAACATTGTACATGGATGCAGCAATCAAGTCATGCTCACACCTGTAAACAGTGTTCATAATACTGGGGGACATTCATGGCTTTGTTGTCCCCCTTGTACATGTCCATCTACCGACAAGTGTTCCAGTCTGTCTAAACCAAGTGTGAACCTATCATGACGTCACCCATTGGTTTGTGGAGAACCGTTCTGAAGCCTTGAGTCTGGCATTATGGTTTGTTGGAGCCAGTGATGTACTGCGAGTTGAGCTGCTCTAATTGGCTGCTCTTGGTTTGGAAACAATGGCGGCTCTCCTGCTCACACAGGATCTCATATTCCAGATAAACAGTCAAATGTGTTTGTGAACAGATTTGAGGAGAGAAATAGTCAACAACAGAATCTGGATCCATATCTGATCAGCACTGCTTAGTTTGACAGTTTGATTTGATATTGGTGCATTGAGCTGGACGGACTCACTGAGAATGAGCTGTCAATCACAAGGTAGCTAAAGCATACCCTGCTTTATGGTCTATTTTACTCTAAATGGGACCATCAGTTACTAAATGAACATCATTTAGTGCACCCTGAGGAACCACCCTGAGTTGCGGGACTTCCTGAAATATAACACGTACGTCCAGCCTGGTGTGTTCAACATAAACACTGAACAAAGGACCAACAACCATGATGAATATAATGGGGTTTTGCTCCATGATCTGTGCGTCTTCAAATCCCACTGAGAGTGTTATCAGAACACTCTCGCTGAAATGGTAAGATAGTGGGCGGAGGTCAGATGAATAGGTCAAAAACTGCAATCATGGCTCCAAACAGGAACTACTGAGAAAAGCAGCGTGAACCAGGAGGAACCCTTTTCCATCAGATTAGATCTGATTCTTGATCCAGTTCCATTCAGGATTCAACAGTAAATAATCACATTAGGAATAAACCTGTCTCCTGCGTGAGCTCGCAGTGAAATTTTGAGAAACAGTCAATTAAATAATTGTGAAATTTAAATGTTACCCATTTTTCTGAGGACTCACTGGATGGTTGAGAACCAATCCTTCAACATAGCTTCACAAAAGGTGAGTTTTAAATGAGAGAGAGGTGAACTCACCCCGAGAGCTGCTGGAGGAGCTGTTAGGATCATCAGGAGGCACCTGGAGGACGAAAAAGACAGGGGAGTAAGAGAACAGATTATTATTTTCAGTTTTGTATTTGTATTTTGTTTTTGTATCTATTAATCAGTGTGTGTGAGCAGTGAGTCAATGGGTTGTAGTGTAGCTTTGTTCCTCTGCTGTCTGTGGACTGATCTCTATGTGTCTCTATGTAGGATGAGGGTCAAAGGTTGTGACCTTTATGCTCCCGAGGGCCTTCTCTCTCCGCTTCCCTACAGTGCCAACAGTGGGCAACACTAGCTAACATTAGCTTATAAATGGAGTCTGCTAACGACTACAAACGACCAACACCCACCACAACACAGAGTCCAACACAGAGTCCAACACAGAGTCCAACACAGAGTCCACAACACAGAGTCCAACACAGAGTCCAACACAGAGTCCACAACACAGAGTCCAACACAGAGTCCAACACAGAGTCCACAACACAGAGTCCACACAGAGTCCAACACAGAGTCCAACACAGAGTCCACAACACAGAGTCCACAACACAGAGTCCAACACAGAGTCCAACACAGAGTCCACAACACAGAGTCCAACACAGAGTCCAACACAGAGTCCACAACACAGAGTCCAACACAGAGTCCAACACAGAGTCCAACACAGAGTCCACAACACAGAGTCCAACACAGAGTCCAACACAGAGTCCACAACACAGAGTCCACAACACAGAGTCCACAACACAGAGTCCAACACAGAGTCCACAACACAGAGTCCAACACAGAGTCCACAACACAGAGTCCAAAGTCAAAGCTAACATTACTGCAAAGCTTGTGGAACATATTGTCTGTTTGTGCTGTTAGCTGGATAACGTTAGCTTGCTTACTAACATCGACAAATTGCTAGCTAGCTTACATAGCAAAATACTGTCAGCTAGCTTCATCCAGACTTCTGGGGCTGATGTGGCTGGTTTGCTATTTGCAGGTGACTTTGTCGGGTGGCATTGCGCAGCTTGTTGTTTTTTATTTACCAGAGCCAGGTGTAGCTGCAGGGGGCGGAGCAGGAAGTCAGCAGCATATTGTCCTCTTCTCAGAGGAAGTCCCGCCCACTACACGGCCCCGTCACTCTGACTCCGCCTCCAGCTGGTTCTCAGCCAATGAGGACGCTCTGACACTCCGGCGCTGGTCGTCGTCCTGCAGGGACACAAAGACAAATTAAGACTGAAGACATTGATACTTTTGACACCTTGCAGGACTGGTTGGTGATGTGATTTAGACTCTTAATTTATCATATCTCATATATTCCTCCCTCTGCCTCTGAACCTTGGATTTGTGTTGTTGTTGTTGTGTTTTGTGTGTTCTATAAATATTGCACATGCTATTATCTCTAATAAAGTATGCTAAAAGTAAAAAGTGGCTCAAGTTCACTCAGAGTTCATTATAATCTCAACAAACAACAATGTACGACCCCGATCTGAGAACATCTGCAGGGCTCACGCGTCAATAATTGAGCTTGTTCATTGGTGCTACATTAATAACTACGTATTGCTTTGCCTCCTGTTACATACGTGATGTTAGTTAAATATGTTAGTTAATATAGTTAACATTGTGACACAGTTGCAGTTTGGTTAAGCAAAAACTACATGGGTAGGTTCAGGAAAAGATCATGGTTTGGGTTAAAACGGGTAAGGACGATAGAAAATATAGAGTGAAAAACTCCTGTGTGTGAAACCAATAGCCAATGTTTATTCCTCTGCGTTAACACATTTCTCCTGAGAAGACACAAATACAAATCTACCATCACAGTGTGATCTTAAAGTGTGAAACACGACCACAACCATAACTGATAAATCTGATTACATTCTTTGTTTTGCACCTGAAGCTGTTTAGTTCAGCAGGTTAGTGGTCATGCACACACCTATCTCAACATGTTGTTTTAGCCACGTATTATGTGACTAATTATTAAGCATTGGAGGTATTTTATTAATTTCTATGGAAGCTGCTCGGTGCCGCACAAAGCCAAAAAATCTCTGCATTGTTCTTCTGCATTGTGGGGCCCATAAAACAAGCGCACTAGAGACCTCTGCTGAGAACCGCTAACCTCTGCCTTAGCTTTCTGTAAATTTTAAAGGAGATAAAATTTCATTGTGGCTGTTCTAGACTTTCCAATGGAAAAAGTATTTTTGGGCCAGTGTTGCTGTAATTACACAGTTTGGCCACTATGTCAAATTGGCTTCAAAGCTTGGTGCTCTTCCATGGGGCATGACAAAAAAGCAGGCTTATCTTTATTTCTTTTTAAATGCAGGGTGAATGGATGGGGTTGCAATTTACACAGCGAGATGCCACAAAATCCTACACACTGGTCCTTTAATGTAAAAATGCCTTATTTCTCAGTATTAGCTACGGCAGCACTCATTGGCTAATGTTAGCTTAGTTATCTGACTATGGTCATATCATCGTACAGGCCGACCTCATCAGACGTCATAAAGAACTTGTTTTTTAAAAAGTCGGAATAACATTCTTAATCAAACACATTGTTTATTCCGGAGCTGATGATGGAAGGAGCTAAAGAGTGAGACATCTTGCTTCCTTCTAATGTCTGTTGAGTTACACATGGGTAACACAATCGGGCAACTATCTATTGATAACAACTATAAACTTACAACTATTGCTAACAACTAAACAGTCTAATGGACCTGTACCGATCACTTTGTAGCGAAGTGCTTTTACACTACATTACACAGACATTCACTCAGCGATAGCAAAGCCCATCGAACAGAAACCAACGCATTCATACACTCGCAATTCAGGGTTCAGTATCTTGCTCAATGATACTTCGACATGTGGCAGGAGGAGCCGGGGATGGAACCAACAACCTCCAACAACCTTTCGATTAGTGGACGACGCGCTCTGCCTCTGAGCCACAGCCCCACCAACTACAAGCTAACAACTAGACGTTGTTAAGAATTGGCAAACAATTATCCGAACGCTAACAACTATCTACTGCTAACAACTTTAAGTTAACAACTGACAACTATACATTATTAATATCTATAAATTGTTATCAACTATACATTCCTAACAACTACAAGCTAACAACTATCCAAAAGCTAAGCCTAGCGCATCTAAGTGCAAGAAAAGGAGGAAGTTGCCCGACGCTCTCTCAACTGTTATTGGAGCAAAAAGGGGCGGGGCTTATGAAGGGTCAATTATGAACGATTTCATGCTGATACAGATCATTCAGTATGTGTAGCAACAACTAATGATAACGTTTGCTTTAGCTGCAGAGAGACAGGTAGAGACAGACCGGTAGGGAGACAGACAGGTACAGGACATATACAGGTAGAGAGATGGACAGGTAGAGGACACAGACAGGTAGAGAGACAGACGGGTAGAGGACACAGACCATTTATGCTTAAAGAACATCACACAATCCATCCTGAATGTTTACATTTGAACGCATTCAGGAAGCATTAAATCAGATCAGCAGTCTCAGAGTGAATGAGGTCAGAACATTAATGTGAAAACAAACAGTCAAAGACTGAAGGGGAAAGTTAAAGCTGCACACTGAGTACTGGTACTGGTACTGGTACTAGTACTGGTACTGATACTGGTACTGGTACTAGTACTGATACTCATACTGATACTGGTACTAGTATTGGTACTAGTAGTGGAACTGATACTGGTACTGATACTGATACTGGTACTGATACTGATACTGGTACTGATACTGGTACTAGTACTGGTACTGGTACTGATACTGATACTGGTACTGGTAGTGGAACTGGAACTGGTACTGGTACTGATACTGGTACTGGTACTGATACTGGTACTGGTACTAGTAGTGGAACTGGTACTGGTACTGGTACTGGTAGTGGAACTGGAACTGGTACTGGTACTGACACTGGTACTGGTAGTGGAACTGGTACGGACACTGGTACAGGTACTGATACTGGTATTGATACTGGTACTGGTACTGACACTGGTACTAGTACTGGTACTGGTACTGACACTGGGACTGGTACTGGTATTGACACTAGTACTGGTACTGATACTGAGACTTGCACTGATCCAGATACTGGTACTGGTACTGACACTGGTACTAATACTGGTACTGGTACTGGTACAGGTACTAGTACTGATACTGGTACTGATACTGGTACTGATACTGATACTGGTACTGGTACAGATACTGGTGATGGTACTGGTGCTGATACTGGTACTAATACTGGTACTCGTACTGGTACTGACACTGGTACTAATACTGGTACTGGTACTGGTACAGATACTGGTGATGGTACTGGTACTGGTACTAATACTGGTACTGGTACTGATAATGGTACTGGTACTGATAATGGTTCTAACAACCAGTATATTGATAATAACTAGAAGTTACTCTGATACTTTTACTGGGTTTCAGAGGGGAAAATGTACTTGTAACCACTTTAACAGCTTTAGTTACTTTGCAGGTTAAGTTACAGTGAACTTGTTACAAGCTACTTACCTGAAACTTTTTAAAACGTAATAAAACTTAATGAATAAAGTACTTTTACTTGTAATGGATTACTTTCACACACACACACACACACACACACATCCTCCACTTTGCATGACCAGTTTCTCTCAGTGATCAATCACAGATATCTTTAACTGTTACACTGTATTGATCTGCAGCTCTGTGGTACTGAGTAAAAGTACTCCGTTACTTACTGTCCCTCCTCTTCACCTTCATCATCCGCGCTCATTAACGGTAATTAACCTGCTGACGTCAGCCGCTAATTAGAGCTTATTAAACAGCTGATTGCTGCAGCGGCTCACTCTTCCTCATCATCATCATCATCATCACCATCACCATCATCATCAGCAGGTAAACAAGCAGCTCAGGTGAGTCTCTTACCTGAAGCTCTCGCGCTCAGATCCGAAGCCTCACGCTCACAGATAAAGTCTTTTCTTAAATCCGGTACAAGAGTTACTGAGCGCGCGGCGCTCCGGTGCACACACACATCACACACCGGCGCTTCCGGTCCGCAGGCTTCAAAATAAAAGCCCGCGACAGGAAGGTTTCAGGGGCCACTCCTCCGAATGAGGTTGTTCTCCCTCTGATGGTCAGACACACACGCACACACACACTGTACAATACATTTATATTATTATTATATGTATTATATATATATATTATTATTAATATAATATTACAGTATGGATTCATTGTCTCTTCAGGAACTGGTATTAAACTGTTTTGCCTTAAACATTTGTTTAATTTAATATTGAACCTACAGTTTACAGTTAATTACTGGTTAATAACTGTTATTATTTTACAGTCTTAATATTACTGAACAAATACAGTATTTTAATAGTTCACAACGTCTGCCTGAAATATTCAAATAATTGCCCATCATGCATTTCAAACACTGCATTACAGTAGTTTATTGTGAAACCCCGGTGATTGTGAACAGTGTGAGGGATGAGCAAAATGTTTTCAATGTTTTCATTTTGTGTGATGAATACAAAGTATGATAAAGTACAGTAAGATTTTCAGTTGTACATGTTTCGTTATTTTACATGAGACATTCAGTTTGTGTAGAGAAATATTTCATATTCTTATTTTCTTCCAGTTAAATCCTGAATTTCTGCCAGTGAGTTTTTCAGGTTTCCATCAGGACTCTTTAACGTGTCTGTACGTAAGACGTTACAGACATAAATAAGAACAATATCTGGATGAGACTTTATACTGTGGTCAGTGTGAGTCAGGTATTAAATTAATACGTTCAGGTTCATCCAGTTAAATTCTGTATTCCTGGCTGTGAGCTGTGACTTTTTCTTCTTTATCATGTTCTCCATCAGGAGACTGGTGGCTGACTGGACTCAGAAACAAGCTGGTCTTCAGCAGATCGGTGTGTGCTTTTATTTTGAAAGCGTGAGTCAGCAGTGTTGCGGTGAATGTTGCGGGTTTGACTCTGTCTCTCTGCGGACTGTCTCTCTCTCTCCATCCCGCAGCAGGTTTCTGTGGCCCGACTAGATCAGCTGCACAGACCCCCTCTGGACTGAACCGAACCGAACTGAGCCGAACTGAGCCGAACCGACAGGAGGAGGCCCGTCCCGAGCGCAGAGAGTTCAGCCGGGAGTCAGTGCGATCAGCCGGGACTCTCTGCAGTGTGTGCCCGCCTGCATGGAGCCTCCGGGCGGCCCCAGGCGGAGGATCGTCCCGCTGCTGGTTCTGATGCTCTGCTGCTCCTCCGCCACTCTGGGACACGCCGAGAGGGTGAGTGAACACACACATTATTTATTAACTTATTATTATTATTATTATTATTATTATTATTATTATTATTATTATTATTATTACGTGAGAGACTCTTCACCAACATGAAGATACTCTTATTGTGAAATGTTGTGTAAAAATGGTATTTTATAAAATGTATTTATTGGTAAATGTATTTGAATGTCTGGATGAATCGTCACATCCTGTTATCAGCAGGTGATCAGTGACTCTGATTGGTTGGATTTGTCTGTTTTGATGTGTGTGTTACCATGGTAACAGACAGGCAGGTGTGTGTGAAGTTATTTTATTGTTGTGTGTTTTTAACAGCAGACTGAGACTGATACAGTATTATCATAGTACTGTAATAGTGCTGTATTAATACTGTATTAGTAACTGTAATAGTACTTTAATAGTACTGTAGTAGTAGTAGTACTTGAACATAAATCCAAGGCGTTAACTCAGCTCAGACTTTTTGAGGAAAATGTTGCCTCAAACAATTTAAGTTTATCAAATATTTGATCAGAGTACAAGTAAATTAAGTACGTAAAGTAAATTCTGTGAACATATTTTAAATAAGTTTGGAGAAATGTTGCGTTTGAGAATAACTTCCATTAACTAATGACATTTGTACAATTAACTTAATTTACCCAAGTTATCTTAACAATTATTAATTGAGTTAATCATTTAAATTGTTTAAAGCGATCGGTTCCCTCAAACAGTTTGAGTTGAACTCGTTAGATTTTAATCAATTATCAACAATATCTAATTGTTTCTGCTATAATGAAGTTGCCAACAAAAGCCTCCTTGTTTTCTATGAGACTAACATCAAATCTTTGGATATCATTAAAAATGCATCGTACTTAAACTTAAAACTAAAAACAAAACAATCCTGAGCATTGCAGCACAGTGGCGCTCACATTTCTTTGATCATATAAAGTCAACTTAAATAAAATGAATTAACTTAAAATACTGCACACATTTAAGTTCACTAAAACAACAGAGGATTAAGTTACGTTAACTTATTTCTCTTGTTATATAACGATGAAATTTGACTTTGTTGTGGTAGTTTTTGTCATGTGTGATGGGACGTTAGAGATTCAGTGAAGGCTGCGAAAAGAGCAAACAAACAAACAAACACAGCAAGCATCTGAGCAGGAAGCGTAGCTCAGAAACAAACCGTGACTGGAACATGATCCGGCAGAGACTGGTGCTGGTTCCTGAGTTCTTGAAGGCAGGTGTACCGTGAGAGCAGGGCCAGGATCCAGAGACCATGCCCACTCATCAACACAGGTCACATTCAGGTGTTCATCAAACTGAACCCTGTAATGTGATGCAAAGTTATTTTAACTCAAAACAATTGTTGAAACTGATTAAACTCAACATTTTATGTTTAAGTACTGACAAGTTCAAGTACAAATTCCTACAAGGTATTTTGTTTTCACAGTACAAATAAAAATTACAAAATTAAGACAAATGACAAAAGCTGCTTTATCAAGAAAAATATTTCAGTGTAATCAGTTCCAACAATTGTTTTAGTTTTACAGTGAAGGTTGACACGGTTGGTCAGGTGAGGGTTCGAATGTAGTGTTATTATGGCAAATTTTAGGTGAAACTAATTATATTTTGTAAGTTAAACATTTGGATAAAGCAGCTTTAGTCATTTTTTACAAAAATAAAAGTTAGAATTGAAGGAAGAAATGAAGAAACTATGAAACATTGCAGTGAAAAAAAAAACAGTTGAGAAACATTTAAAGAGTAACTAAAACCTCTGTATCTGGGTTTTTACTAGTGTTGTCTTAATCTGGATATTTTATTGCAAAGTATTTGAAATCTACATATTTAGCTATAAAAATGCTCAGCGACTGCCCTCTGCTGGTTGAAACCTGCTACTGCAGTTGGATTTTGCTATTGGCTGCTTACTTTTCTTCTTTAAAAACCTTTAAATCTTTGAGTTTTAGAAACAAAAAAATCTGCACACGAAAAATGTGAATGTAAATGATCTGGCTAGTTAGCTGCTTAGTTTTGGTGAGTTGGTGTTTTGGTAACATTAGCTATCAGACGCTGATTAAAGACTGGCTCAGTACTTATTAACTTCTTTCATTATCAGCTCCGGGAAAAAAAATAACACGTTTAATTCAAAATGTTATTAAGACTTTTTAAGTTTTAACTTGATGCAGCCTAACAAATGATGTGATATTACATCTCATCCATAAAAATAGACTTCAAATAACTTAGCTAACGTTGGCTTTCAGGTGATATGGGGCGTTCCATTAACCTCGGAAGTCACAAATGAGTTGACCGCGTTCCAGTAAGTTGGAAAAGTAAGCTCAAGCACCATTAGCCATTGTTAGCAATACCAGGTGATAAAAGTCCGTCTTTCTGACTTTGTACAGTTTTATGGGACAAGGTGTTTGATGATGTTACTGCAGGTCGTAGTGGTCCCTTTAGTGGAACAGCTGTCTGTGTTATCAGCAGGTTGATCTGAACACTTTCTACATTCATTTAATGCGGAAATAAAAGAATGTATAAAGAATGTCAGACAGGAAATAAAACCCGTCTGTCTCTCAGTCTGTCTCTCTGTCTGTCTGTTTGGTTCATTCGTTGGTTGTGCAGTCAGTCAGTCAGACAGACAGTCTGCTCTGTCTGTTGTTTTAGTTCGTCTGTTTTCTGTTTCAGCCTTTTGTCCTGATCTGCTGTTATTACTGACCCAAACACACACACACACACACACACACACACACACACACACACACACTGATCTGCTGAGCTGCAGTGAAACAAAAACCAACGTCTCTCCGACCCCAAAGCAGCTGAACATTTCATTTAAATTATGACTGCAAACGTCTGTCGACTGGGTTTACACATTAAACAGACGCCTCCTCATGGTTGTTGTGTTGACTTTAAACAAACTGACAAGAACTAAAGATATTTCCTTTATATTATTAGTTTATTTAAGTTAGTTTTGTAACTTCACAATATTGTTTAGTTTTTGTGTTATACTTATCTTATACTGTTTTAGTTTAGTTTTAGTGAACTAGAAACTAGGAATGGACAGTATGTTTTGGCCGATACAATAAATAATAATTACCTGCTTCTAATAGCTCTAATAGCTAATTGTGCAAACCTGATTTTTTTTGTAAATGACAATCGGCGGCTGTAGCTCCTTCAAACTTGGTAGATTTTTGTTTTAATCTGTATATTTTTCGGCTTTGTTGCTGAAAACATCACTAATGATGTCTGATTGGAGTAAAAAATGGTGTAAATGGACTGGATTCAGGAGGTTTTGGTTACGGCTGCACGTTCAGATGCTATGGTCGGTATGCTAGCTCCTTCAAACTTCTCTGTTTCTGTCTGTTGAAACACGTATTACCTATGACAGAAATAGCCTATAGGCAACAGAAAAGGAAGCGTGGGGTTTGGATTCAAGAGCAGCCACTGTGTCAGTTCTACTGGACTGGACCAGCTCCACCTTGGCGGTCCCAAGAGGAGAGGAAGAGAGCTGGACTAGCTGGCCAATGTCTGATCTGGACGAAACAACAGGAAATCAGAGACTGTCATGACCACATCTTTACAGAGACCTGCTCCAACAGCATCCAGAATCCTCCACGGGTGGACGGGGCGGACTCCGGACTCGATGATACTCGGGGCTCAAACGCAGTCAGACTGTACGGACACTTATTTTTACTTGAAGATGAAACCTGATTATCATCACCATCTTGTTGCTGCTGTTCTCATTCAACCAGACCAAAGATGACCTGCAGAACCATTCCCTGTATATATGGATATAAATATATCATTCCTTTAATAATATCTATGATTCCTTCAACTTATAAAACATGAAGTGAGTTGTGATGGATATTAAAGGTGTTTCAGTGATATTTGACTACTGAAGGTCTGTTTGAACACTGCAGAGCTTCTCTATCTTAGTTTGACACCAACTCTTTTAAAACAATGTTAAGTGGGGTTTGTACGGCAGGTTGTGAGGGTCAAACTGGTCGTCTGATGCTCAAATGAAAATAATCTGATCAATAATCTGATCTATAGTTTCACCGGAACCCTCAGTGTATATTGAATGTAAAACATTATCCACGAACATTACCTGCTGCAGGGCGTGTTGAGGCAATCGAGAATGGAGATAAGAGCAGCCTCTGTCTGGAAGAGCACTGTTACACCTGCAGGATACATGAAGGTGTTTGGGTTTAAACCCACTGAAAAATGTCTGAGAGATAACTGCATGAAGAAACATGCTTCACTACTGTAGTCTAAACCTGAGACTGACTTCAATCAGGACTCAACTTTACCACTGTTACCTGCAGGGTACAAAGCTAATCTAAATCTAAAAACACAAATTAAAGCCAAAATTGGATGAGTTGTTCTTCTTTCTGTGGGCAAAGCAATGGCCTTCCTGTGTTCCTAAGTGTGGTGGCTTTCATGTTTTATATTACAGTAAAACACTGAGCTGATTATTCTTGACTCTACTTTGAAAGGTTCGGAGCATCTCAGACCAAAACAATGGGTGCTATACGACCAACCAGACTCCACTGACAAAACCAGCAATTTTAGATAGTCATAAAACCCACTTCAAATTGGACAGAAACAAAGTAAAACTCACCAAAACCATTTGCTAGTCCAACAATCACCAACTCTGGTTTGGTTTAAATAAATCCTTAATTCACTGAGTTAGATTGGAAAATATTTGTGGAAAGGGCTGTGACATAAAATCCATCCGTCCACTAACAGTAGAAGTTGTTTGTTCTTCTAACAGCAGTTGTTGTTTGTTCCACTAACAGTAGTTATTGTTGTTTGTTCCACTAACACTAGTTGTTGTTGTTTGTTCCACTAACAGTAGTTGTTGTTTGTTCTTCTAACAGTAGTTGTTGTTTGTTCCACTGACAGTAGTTGTTGTTTGTTCCACTAACAGTAGCTGTTGTTTGTTCCACTAACAGTAGTTGTTGTTTGTTCCACTAACAGTAGTTGTTGTTTGTTCCACTAACAGTAGCTGTTGTTTGTTCCACTAACAGTAGCTGTTGTTTGTTCCACTAACAGTAGTTGTTGTTTGTTCCACTGACAGTAGTTGTTGTTTGTTCCACTGACAGTAGTTGTTGTTTGTTCCACTGACAGTAGTTGTTGTTTGTTCCACCAACAGTTGTTGTTGTTTGTTCCACTAACAGTAGTTGTTGTTTGTTCTTCTAACAGCAGTTGTTGTTTGTTCCACCAACAGTAGTTGTTGTTTGTTCCACTAACAGTTGTTTGTTCCACTAACAGTAGTTGTTGTTTGTTCCACTAACAGTAGTTGTTGTTTGTTCCACTGACAGACTCAGGTTGTTATTGTCAGTGTCTGACAGCATTATGGAAAGGATCCCTACAGAGATAGACCTTTAGTTTAACCACAAACAGCCGTAATATCACTATCACTCTCCACCAGACTCCAGAGACAGAAGCGGTAATTTTACCTTGTATCATTGTTACTTCATTCAAAGTGGACAGAAACAGAATAAAACTCATCAAAACCATCATTAGTCTTTCCAACGATCATCAACTCTGGTTTGGTGAAAAAAATCTTAAAGTTATATGTGAAAATGTTTGTGAAAAGGGCTGCAACGTAAGCTAATGTTAATTTTTGGGGCCCATCAAAATCCGTCCACTAAAAGTTGTTTCTGCATTGACTCAGTGTCTGACTCCATAGACAAAAACACTCATTTTAAGTCATGTTATTCATACACCTTTTGGTGATACCAGACTGGTGTTTTTACTTTTACCTTTTTACACCAAGCAGTTTAACCTAACGTACCTGGACTGACTCTGTTCCTGGTTTGAGTGGATCCATGAATTTATTAGATTAATTAAACAGAAATATTTAACATATTTTTTCGTTCTCTTTTTGCAGGTGTGTCACTGCACTGGGAAGTCTTTCTGTCACTGTGATGGGGTCAAAGGTCAAAAGGTGAGGGGATCTCAACCTGATCTATCTATCTATCTATCTATCTATCTATCTATCTATCTATCTATCTATCTATCTATCTATCTATCTATCTATGCAGTTGGGTTTTTTTGGGGAGCCCCAGTGACATCATCCTGAAGGTTTAGACTTCACTGATCCTGGATCAGTCTCTGTTTACAGTCTTCTGCCCTCCAGTGGGGACCTGCTGTCACTGCAGAATTCATTTGGTGATTGGACTATGGTCTGACGTGGGTCTACAACAGTTTTATGTGGGTCCATTTAGATCTAGTGTGGGTCAGTGACTGCTGTTTATGAGCTATATGTCAGGAGGTGTAAGTCAGTCTAATGTGGGTATAATTTTCTACATGTCATTTTTATTTTATTTTGTTTTTATGTTCTGCTCTTGAAAGATGAAATGTAAATAAATAGTTTGTTGTGGTGTTTTGAGGGTTTAATGGATGATTACTGAGACCTGACTGAATTTCGTCCTCATGTTTTATATTACTGGTATTGGCTCTGGTGAATAATAATAATATAATAATACTGTTAGTAGGGAATTCAAATTGACACAGCAGCACAGTAGAAGAATAAAGAAAATAGAATAAAACAGAATAAAATAGAATAAATACAATAAAAAGAATAATATAAGCACTATTTGCAGTAAATACATTATATTACAGCAATGTAATGTAATGTTTTTTTGTAATATTTACTTCTACAGAACATTTTGTGCAAAGCTGCTCCCCAGCATGCTTCACAAATAGGACTGAAGCAACATTAGGCCAAAAGCACAAATGAAGATGAACTTTACGCAATCTTCCAGCGGCTGGAGAGAAATCAATATCATCATTTATTCTAGTACAACTTACTAAATAATGCAATAATATGATAACATAATAACAATAATAATATAATTCATAAACAGGAATCAGTTCTATAAATACCAAAGATAAAAAGAAGGAGATTTGAGTTCAGCTGCAGTGGAAGTCTTTGTGTCTCTGTAGCTGAGACCACCCAGGAGTACACTCTGTGATCTCAGGTGTGTTCATCAGGAGAATAAAAGCTGGTTCCTCTCTGCTGAACATGAAACGTCCTTCTGTTCGCTCAGGAACCTCAATGCACCTGGACCACAGCCAGGAAACGTACACCTGACTTTACTATAGTTGTTGTGTGGGCAGCAGGAGAACTGTGCCAGGATCGGTTCTATATCTGACATCATTTGAGTTACCTGTTATTTCACCTCAATTTAATTCAATTCAATCAATTCAATTTTATTTTCATAGCGCCAATTCATCACAGAAGTTATCTCAGGACACTTGATAACTTCTGTTTACCTGCTACAGATTATCTTTGTCAATCGTTGAGCTGACCCGGGATCTGTTATACACCTCATGAGATCTACCTGTGTTTTCGACCTCCGCAGGGTGAATCGGGTTACCCCGGATACGACGGACTTCCTGGAGTGATTGGTTATCCTGGAGTCGAAGGCCACCAGGGCTCCTCTGGAGAAAAGGTATCATTACATTTTTATAATAATGTTAATAAGAGGTTATTATTATTGTTTAAACAGACGGTGGAGTTCCTTAGGGTTCAACCTCGGTCCTCTTTTTATTTTGAAAACACGTTACCAAAAGACTGAAGTTATGATATTTTGTCTGCTTGATTGATATCTCAATTTTAGATACAAACTCAATCATGTGACTTTACATTTATTTATTAAAAGTGTATTTTATTTCACTAAATCCAATTATGTCAATTTTATTTTTAAAGTTTCAAACATCGGTTGTTCTGCCGTCTTATTCAGAGAAAGGTTTTTATTTGTTTCCAGACACACAATGACTTTAGAGATGATTTACAGTATTTATTGATTATCTATCAGAGGTGTCTATAAATATTATCATCATAAAAGGTGTTAAAAGTGCTGTATATTTCAGATTAGATGTTTTTTGTTAGTGTTTCCACTGTTTCAACAATCACCAACTCTGGTTTCACAGAGTTAGATGAGAAATCATCATGATCCTCTAATAGTAGTTGTTTCTGCCACTGACAGACTCAGATTGTTATTCTCAGTGTCTCACAGCATTATGGGTAGGATCCCTACAGAGACAAACCTTTTTGTACCCTCTTCTTGTTGTTTTTTGTCCTCAGGGTAACCAGGGACCAGCAGGTGGTCCAGGACTGAAAGGCTCTCGGGTATGACGATGATGATGATGATGATGATGAAGAATCAATAATATCTGTGACTTGAGCATCATTTTAGTCACATTTATCTAATTAATCCTGACAAATTTGATATCTTTGTGAAGTGAATTCAGATTAAATGAGTGAAGGATCTGTCATATAAAGGTAAACATTAGTTTATCTCAATGTATTCTCCAGGGTCTTCCAGGAAAACCAGGTTTCCCAGGACCTCCAGGATTGCCGGTTAGAAACATTTTTTAACATTCAGAATCAGAATCAGAATCAGAAATACTTTCATAATCCCAGGGGGAAATTACTTAAGTAATTACTTACTGTGTGTTGTGTTCAATCATTTTCCGAAAACATTTTCTGCGTTTTCTCAGGGACTCCCCGGACACGAAGGACCTATAGGCCAACTAGGACTCCCAGGATGCAACGGGACAAAGGTAGAGATGATTACCTGCGCACGGCATCATCATATTTTAATGAAGGCAGTTTGTGGCAGTTTTTCTGGCAAGATGGAGACCCAGAATTGCGCCCTGAGGTACAGCAGTAGTGAGTTGTGCAGATGATGAAATGAAACTGCAAATTCTGTTTATTACAACGTGATTATTGAGGTAAGTAAAGACATCAGAGGTTGAAATACAACAACAGGACTATCAGGCAAAACGACATAACCAGGATTTCCATGGCTGTTTTTACCTTTGACCCAACATCACAGCATTACAGGGATTGATGTTCTGATTGGTGTCTTCCAGGGGGATGTTGGTCAACCAGGATACCCCGGGCCTCCAGGACCTGCCGGCTTTCCAGTAAGTCCTGCCTACTTCCTGTACAAAGCAGTGATGGGATGCCGTGAAGACTTCCTGTAGAACCTGTCAGTCATTTAGTGAAAAAAAAGTATTGGAAAGCTGGGAACCTTGAGATTTATCTAAGAGGCAGCTCAACTTTGTATGTTAACTGTTTCTAGTCAAAAATATGTTATACATTTTGAAGGTTTAGCGTGTATAACATTATAGTTGAGGTATATGATGGTCATCCCATGCTCAGTTATGTCTCATAAGTTGCTCCAGCCACCTTTGGGTTGATACCATTTTTTACACAGATTTGGGAGCAAAATGTAACAGTTTTTGACCACTCAAAAATGGATCCCTCCAAAATACCACATTAAGACACAAAAACCTGTGGAACACCATAAAAAAACTAATTCTGTAATTTGGTATCAAAAACTTTTGACATTTCGAGATTTCAAGTAAGTATTGGAATTTTTGCCGATTGGATGACAAACACTTCTGTTCAGGAAATTGACCCTTCCCAAGTCCCGCCCCCTTTTGCTCTGAGGTTGCTCAGAAACCCCTTTATTGTCAAAGCCATCCAAAAAAACAAGATTCTCACTGCAATGAAATGGCTAATATGGGGACGATCATCATCACACATGAATATCTTGAGGTCAGAGGTCAAAGGACCCTTTTGAAGACCATGCCAGTTTTTCCCTCGTCAAAATTTAGCTTCACTTTGGAGCGTAGTTTAGCCCCAAAAAACAAGCATGCTAACTAGATGCTACAGCTTCTGAAAGACATCAGTCAAGTTGGCCAAAGACGTTGCCGACTTCGTGAAGTTGAAGAGGTTAATCGCTGCAGGCTGAAGCTAAGCTAGGCTAATTAGCTCAGAGAACTAAAGCTAACTGTGTTCTGTGTTTCAGGGTGAACCAGGACTGCGAGGTGAAATGGTAAGACCTGAACACATTCACATACTGTCATAAAACCGTCTATCTCCAATTCTAGTTCTTTTCACTTATTTTTTATTTGGAAAATAAATTTAAAGAAATGTTGGTCTTACTTGAACCACGCATGGAGTTAATATCCGAGCTAACAGCTGAAACTGTACAGCTTCAAAATACAGCGTTAAAGTTACAGTACCTGTATTATTGAATATTAGTAAATATTTATAGCTGCAATTTATATCGTAGAACAAAATGTATACATTTTTGTCTTTATTGTGTGGGAGATAGTAGAGAGGTGACAAGAAATTTGGTGTAGTGAGGGATGACACTGCAACACGTCTGTTTCTGTTTCTTTAAAGGTAATACACCATCTCAGACCAAAACAATGGGCGCTAGGACCCACCAGACTCCACTGACAAAACCAGTAATTTTACCTCACACATAGGCTCACACACAAAACTGGACAGAAGCTGAATAAAACTCTGTTAGTGTTTTCACCAACTCTGGTTTGGTGGAAATAAATCTTTAATTCACCGACGTAGATGATAAAAACAGCAGTTTCAGTCGGAGCAGACCGGCTATGGAAACAAACCACAGAGAGGCTGCGATACAACACAGGCAGAGGGAGAGAGACACCATGTGACTCTGTGTCTGTATAACAGCTGTTTGCTGATTAATGTTTATAATCTCACACGTAACCTTTAAAGGCTTGTTGTTTCTAAGTGTCTGTTTCTGTTTTTTTCAGGGAGACACGTTCGTCTTTCCCGTCCCTCAGGAAATTATTGGAGTGACAGGACCACAAGGACTGGACGGAGAAAATGTCAGTAGTATCCCAGCATGCATTTCACATCAATCAGCAGTGATGGTGGAGAATACGATCCATACCTTTCCTCTAAAAGCTGTTATTGTGTCTCTAAATTTACTCCTGTGATTTACTGCCATATTTTTGGAGATGTGATTGAAAGAATTAACACTTGATCAGTCCATGGATGAACACAGACTGATTGTCTGTTTGTGTTGCAGGGCCTGACTGGAGATCCAGGTGAACCAGGCCTGCCGGGACCAACAGGATCCTTCGGACTTCCTGTATGCTTGAGATCTAAAACTTTATTTAAATGTTTTCATTGATCAGTGGTTCAATCAACAGTTCATCAGCTGTTTCTTTAATTCAGGGACGTCCAGGGTTGCCGGGGTTACCAGGAGAGAAGGTTAGTACGCTAACAGGCTGAACTGATCTGGGATTTTTACCCTTCATAAGTCCCGCCCCTTTTTGCTCTGTGCTCCAATAACAGTTGAGCTAGCCTCGGTCAACTTCCTCCTTTCCTGTACTTAGATATGCTACATGCTAGGCTAATCTATGTTGAAAAAACAACCACATTTTGAAGATAGTTAAAAGAGTCACATCTTCAGTTAGCTAATGTTAGCCAAACACCAGCTAACTACTTAAGTAATCTAATGCTAGGTATCTAGGTAGCTTTAAAACCACACACATACAACAAAACGTTGTGTTTTTGTTTCAGGGTCAAGAGGGTCCCAGTCCAGTGATCCCGGGTCCCCGAGGACAAAGGGTGAGCTAATAATAATGCTAATGCTAATGCTAATGCCAATTCACAGGTTATAAAATCAAATCACCTGTGATATAAGACAGACAACATCAACAAACATTTATACCTAATGAAACGCCATCGCTGTCTTCATCACCACCATCATCATCAACACCATCAGCTGTGTTTGGTTTTCAGGGTGATCGCGGCCCGCCGGGGATTCCTGGACAGAAAGGAATCAAACTGTATGCTACAGGACCCAAAGAACTGAAGGTCTGTCTGTCTGTCTGTCTGTCTGTCTGTCTGTCTGTCTGTCTCTCTGTGTGTCTGTGTGTCTGTCTCTCTGCACTGATGTTTCACTGATGTTTTTTCTTGTTATATTTCAGGGAGAACCAGGTGAAGTCGGACAGAAAGGTTGTCGTGGACTTCCTGTAAGTCAAAGCCGTCTCACAGACTGAGAACCTGTCTGTCTATCTGTCTGTCTATCTGTCTGTCTACAGCAACGAAAAACCCTGATATTTAATATATGAAATATTATTTGAAATGTTTGATTGTTGACTGTTGGTGTGCGTTTGTTTTGTCCTCCAGGGCGTGGCAGGGAAACTGGGGGTTAAAGGAGAGAAGGGCGGGCGAGGTGATCCTGGCTCAGAAGTAAGAGAGAGAGAGAGAGTGCTAATTTACAATAGCATGGATCAACAGAGAGTTACTGATCTGAATGTTGTTTTTATTGTTATTTATTTACCTGATCAGAAACCTGAACAGGTGTAAACCCGGTCTGACATGTTTGGTTTCTGTGTTTCAGGGTAAACCCGGGAAGGATGGACTCCCAGGAGAGCTGGGCCAACAGGTGACATGCTAAGCTAACACGAAAGCTAACATTGCTAATATAAACAATCTACTTTCTGGAAATAACTCCCGCTGTGTGTCTGCAGGGAAATCCGGGGGATCGTGGGTTCCTCGGTCCTCCAGGTATCGATGGAGCAAAGGTGAGTACTGTTTGAGTTACAGGAAGTATTACTGCTAGGGATGCTCGATATTGGCTTTTCTGCCGATATCCGATATTCCGATATTATCCAACTCTCAATTTCCGATACCGATATCACCCGATACCGATATATGCAGGCTTTTTACACCAAAACTGTAACAACATAACATATCTCCTATTGTGGAATTAACACATTATGCCTCATTTTATTGTGATGCCCCACTGGATGCATACATAAATGCAACATGGCTTTCCAAATGTAAACAGTGTGTGCAAAATAAGAGAACAACTTCAACTTTCATTGTATTACCGTATTGACCCGAATATAAGACGACCCTGAATATAAGACGACCCCTCTTTTTCAAGACCCATATTTGGAAAAATACTTTTTATTTGGACAAAATTTCATTTGCATAAAAAAAATTCATTGTTTTCCTTGTACATTTCAACATCTTTGGTGTTTATCATGCGGGGGAAAAAAATCCTAAAATCTTCTATAGCTCCGCAAATAGGCAAAGCGCAGAACGCACTTCACAGTTCTATGCCATAGAACAGTGCAATTAAACGAGCATAAGCCTACTGGCTTAACTTGTGCAATAAACGGCGCACATTGTCTTGACAGTGTCAGAACAGTCTGCAAAATGTGAGAACAATAACATCCAAAAACACCACAAACTGTTTTTTTTTCTTTCTTTCATTAAGCTGCATCCTCCGCATCACTGGGTTCCTCCTCCTCACTCGCACTTTCGTTGTCGCTCTCTGCCGCTGCCGCCGGCAGGCTAACACACCCACTCCAGCCGACTTGTTTACTGTACATGCTTGTTTACAGGATCACGTTAGGGTCACACTGCACTAAACGCTGACGGAGAGAAAAGCGCTCATATGGCGCTACCTATTGTTTTACATGGGTTACTCCTTAGACCCCGAATATGAGACGAGGCGTCATTTTCAGGCATTCTTCAAGGGAAAAAATATCGTCTTATATTCGGAGCAATACGGTAATACTGAAAAGAGCGCTAACGCTAATCGCTAGCTACGCACTAATCGCTAGCTAAGCGCTAAACGCTAGCTAGCTACTGCAGTAATAAAGGAAGTGTTACTGCGGTAGTAAAGGAAGTATCACTGCAGTAGCAAAGTAAGAGTTACTGCAGTAATAAAGGAAGTATTACTGCGTTAATAAAGGAAGTATTACTGTGGTAGTAAAGGAAGTGTTACTGCAGCAGTAAAGGAAGTATCACTGCAGTAGCAAATGAAGTGTTACTGCGGTAGTAAAGGAAGTGTTACTGTAGTAATAAAGGAAGTATTACTGCGGTAATAAAGAAAGTATCACTGCAGTAGTAAAGGAAGTATCACTGTAGTAGCAAATGAAGTGTTACTCCGGTAGTAAAGGAAGTGTTACTGCGGTAGTAAAGGAAGTGTTACTGCAGTAATAAAGGAAGTGTTACTGCAGTAGCAAATGAAGTGTTACTGCGGTAGTAAAGGAAGTGTTACTGCAGTAGTAAAGGAAGTGTTACTGCGGTAGTAAAGGAAGTGTTACTGCAGTAATAAAGGAAGTATTACTGCGGTAATAAAGGAAGTATTACTGCGGTAATAAAGGAAGTATTACTGCGGTAATAAAGAAAGTATCACTGCGGTAATAAAGGAAGTATCACTGCAGTAGTAAAGGAAGTATCACTGTAGTAGTAAGGGAAGTATTAGTAGTAGTAAAGGAAGTGTTACTGCAGTAGCAAAGGAAGTGTTACTGCGGTAGTAAAGGAAGTATCACTGCAGTAGCAAATGAAGTGTTACTGTGGTAGTAAAGGAAGTGTTACTGCAGTAATAAAGGAAGTATTACTGCGGTAATAAAGGAAGTGTTACTGCAGTAGTAAAGGAAGTTTCACTGTAGTAGTAAAGGAAGTATTACTGCGGTAATAAAGGAAGTATCACTGCGGTAATAAAGGAAGTATCACTGTAGTAGTAAGGGAAGTATTAGTAGTAATAAAGGAAGTATTACTGCAGTAGTAAAGGAAGTGTTACTGCAGTAGTTCACTCAGTACTGTGTGACAGTCTCTATGATGTGTGTGTTTTTAGGGGGAGAGAGGGGATCGTGGTTTTCCAGGTCTTCCAGGGGAGGTGAGTCTTGATTTTTTTTTTCACTGCAGGAAGGCCCATTCTACCAAAATAAGTGCTGAAATATTGTTTACATCTAAATTCGACGCCATGGATACACTATTAGACAAAACCTTACAACTTACATGCTTCACAATAAATCATTAACATCGTTTTTTTACTTTTCTGAGCAGGTTTGAGATGGACTAGTGAAAATATAGTTTTTAGCTGTAATTTGACATTAAATATTTTTGATGTATTATGTTTAAAGTTATTTACACTGTAAAAACAATGCAATGTGCTTTAAGTACAGGTGAACTCTGCTATAATACAAATAATAAGGCTTACATTTACAGCAAAGTGCTGTTATTATTTATTTTTTCTTATTTTAATCTGAATGTTAAAAGTTATAGAACTGTAATAAAAGTCAACTGTGAAATTTCAGTAATTATTGCTGTTTACACTGATAAAAACTGTATTTGGACAGTTTACCAATGCTTTTACACTGATAAACAACATTCATATGACTTCCATAATCATACAAGATCTGTCCGTTAACTAACTAATGTGACACATTTTTCATTTAGAAATGAATGAACAGTATTAAACTTGAATTGAACCATTTAATCTATTAAATAAACACTAATAGTATAATAAAATAATAAGCAGAAATTTTTATTGATCTTTTACAGTTACAGATTTTTCACGTTATTTTACATTAGATATGTAAATATGTAGATATTTATTTATACATATTTAAAAACTACAAAAAATCTGTCAAAAAATCCTGTAAACGTACAGATTTGTTTTACAGTGTACATGTTTGTGTGTTTTTATCAGACGGTCTGGAATCACAGATTCCTGAAGGGCCAGCGAGGTGTCCCCGGGTCCCCTGGATCCCGCGGACTCCCTGGAGAACAAGGTAGTCCAGAGATAAACATGAAGGATTAAAAAAACTTTAAAGGTTCAGATTTATTTCTTGTTAATGGTCGGATATTTTATTTGTGTGTACTTTTCATTGTTAGTGGTGGAGTCCGCCTTTACGCAGGATCATAACAGTTAAACTTTGTCATGCTGTAAATGTTTGTGACCACTTTATCCTCTACGCTGCAGAGATAGAATTAAGGATAAATTGTGTATGAAATGAAGTGTTTTTATTGACAGGCTGTTGAGGATCAGCGGGTTTAGCTAACGGATGGATGGACAGTAATATTCTTCTTCTCTGCTTCCTTTCAGGACTTATTGGTTTTCCAGGACTGCCGGGAGAACCAGGTATTATGTTGTTGACGGGTCAATGATGAAATAACAATCAATAATCAATAAGAATATTCAGATCACACAGTATTTAGGCAGATGAATCTGGGTGGATGTGTTTACTGTCAGATATTCTTGTGTTTATATATTCTGTTATATTCTTTATTGCTTATACTGTTTACCTCTACTGATGACAATGTGATAATTTGATTAATTAATAAACTTTAACAGTAATAATAATATACCTTTAACAGAGAAATCTTATTCAATAGATAAACATTTTAAATGTTTTGTTATGTTGACACTGTATGTGTAAAAATGATAATAACAGCAAAATGGCAGTACAGTGCCCCAGTGCAAAAATACTTAATATTTTGACCCAGGATCCATGAGTGGATTCATGTAATTCAAATGTCATTCAAATGTACAAAAACTAAAGAGAGAGTTAAAGTACAAAGCATATACATTTTAAGTTTTTTTTTTTTTTTTATTGAGTATTGTCTCCCTCCAGACGTCAGGACTCTAATGACTGTCTGTCTGTTCTTCTTCTTTCAAGGTGTAGTTTATGCTGGTCCACCAGGCCCTCCGGGGCCGCCTGGCTCAACTGGAGCCAAAGGAAATCCAGGAGTTCCAGGACCTATGATTGTTGGCCCTCAAGGACTGGATGGAGTCCCAGGAAGTCCTGGACCTTATGGAGAACCAGGAGAACCGGGAATACCAGGTAAAGTTCTGTCTCCTGTGTTTCTCTGTCCAGGTCTTGAGAAGGTTTTGTGGTTTTGGAAGTCTCTACAGATCTCTGATCTACAGTCAGTCACACTCTTGAGAAGATGTCTGTTTGGTTGTGATCATGTGGCTAGCATAGCTTTGCAGGGGGAATCTGCTAGCTTAGCAAAAACAAATTCACCTTCCAACAACAACAAGTCTGTCTCATTATATTTTGGTCTTCTGTCCGTCAGATTTCGTGCAGGGAGGCATTGGTCCTCCAGGAATTAAAGGTCCAAAAGGACAGATGGGATTTGCTGGAACCAGAGGGGAGGACGGACAGACGGGTGAGTGGGTGAGGTGAAGGGGGAGTCACCTAGCCTTAACTTTTCAAGTTTTGAAAGGGATTTTTAAGAAAGATATTAGCTCATTCTTTACAACAGGATCTATAACAACCAAGAAATGTTTTACCATATTTTAAAAAACACAGACATTAGACAGCTAATTTAAGGGATAGGAGTGTATTACATAACTGATAGTTATACTGATATAACTGATTGTTTGACAGGTGAAAAGGGGGACATTTGCTTGGTCTGTGAAATTGTTTTCGGCCCCTCCGGACCTCCAGGTAAACCAGGAGAGCCAGGTGAAGGCGGGGTGGCAGGTAAGAACCACATCTGACACCTGATATAAAGATCCATTACATACCAATGTAAAAGTAGTTTGTTTTTGTAGTTTTTAGTTATTTAATTTCCCACAAATTTTCTCAAATTGTCATAACTTTAGCTGTAAACGACTAAGTCCCATTATTACAGAATAATGAAACTTTAAACCCGTTCACAGTGACCAGACCAGTTGACAGCAGGATCTGATCAAGAGTCAGATTCACTGTTTAGTAGGTAAAACTTACCTGTTCGTCTACGATGTCATTCTGTTTACAGGTTCACCTGGTTTTCAAGGACCCAAAGGTTACAAAGGGGTCAAAGGGGTTGTAGGACCACCTGGTCCACAGGTGAGCTTGTTGATCACCTCCTTAAGCTCTCCTATCACAGGTTCTTGTGATGCTTCTCTTATCTCGCTGCAAATTTTCCATCAGCAAAGTGTGATTCGGTCAGCTGAATCCTTTTCCGTCTTCAAAAATGTCTTCTGAAACTTTTTGATCACCTAATATTCCTCTATCTCCGTCTAGAAAATCTAAAATAAGAAATGGCCATTTGTAAGGCTCTTACAGAAGAAGCACTTACTCTCAAATGCTTCTACTAGATCTACTGTGGTTTGAATTATACCTCATTTGTACGTCACTTTGGACAAAAGCATCTGCCAAATGTGTAATTGTAAATGATGCTGCACATGTTTAAATCTTTAAAAAAGCAAAATTACAAGGGATGTGCATCTCCTTCTAAGACGATCTTGTCTTATTGTTTGTTACAAGGCTGTCTCTATTCTGTCGTTAGGGACCCTTTGGTATCCCTGGCCTCACGGGGCCTCCAGGACTGATTGGAGACCCTGGGATCATGCAGAGGGTGGGGCAGAAGGGTGAGGATGGGGGACAAGGGGGGCCAGGACCACCAGGTTTTGAGGGGACAGATGGGCGTCAAGGCGTTAGGGGACCGAAAGGTGTTCTTGGACAGAAAGGAAACCCTGTGAGTATGAGATACAATTCAATTTTATTTGTATAGGTCCAAATCATAACAGACATCACCTCAGGAGACGGCAGTCCAGGCCGCCTCAGAGACTAGAGAGGATCTTTTCTGCCTGTAACATGTAGTTGGATATCTTGATATGCAGATGATGATGTGTTGTTTGTCTCTAACGCTACTCTCAGGGGCCTCTTGGGGAGAAAGGTGACCAGGGCCTGTTCGGGGAGACTGGTCCAAGAGGACCATTAGGACAGATGGGACCTTCAGGACCTCCTGGAATCGGGGCTCCAGGACCTCCAGGACCTAAAGGCAACTTGGGAGTCCAGGGACAGCTAGGAGATCCTGGAAAACCAGGTGAGAGACGTGCAGGAGGTCAAACACATCTTATCATTTATTTATTTTAGGTGTATCATAAATCCTTTGTCCTCCACAGAGTTTATGTTCTGGAATAATCTAAAATCCCATTGCCTTATTGTGGAACTCAGAACCAATGACTTCAACTGGATGTTAGCAGCATAATGACAGATATCACAACTTAGTTACAACCGAGTCGACATTATATGGGGTCTTTTATCAAGCAAATTATTTATTTATTAATTTGAAGTAAAGATGGGTTGTAATTATAGACTGATAAAAACTAATCTGTTTGTTCATTCAGGGGAGAAAGGTTCTCCGGGTGAAATCAAAACCTCTGTAGGAGATCCAGGAGATAAAGGGGCCAAAGGTTTATCAGGAAACCCCGGACCTGAAGGTGAGACCAATCCACCTACTGTATCTTCATTTTTGAAACAGGTGAACAAAACTACAAACTCAACTGATAAAATCATTTTTTTCCACGATGATGGATCTCCGACCTCCAACCTCTCTGTGTGTCAACTGCTTCATGTTCATTTATTTGAAATCATATCTGGCCTGCTTTATTATCTAATTTTGAGGCCTTGATAAATTTAAAGACCTTCGTTATTTCAGTGTTGTGCTTTCATGTTGCATATGAAATTACCTCTATCAGAGAGTAGGAGGAAGGGTTTATGAGGGCCAAGCTTATTCTTGCCGTCGGCAGGTGTAAAAACACATCATAGTATATGTGATTGTTGAACTCTGACACAGACAGCAGAGGACAAATTACAGTGTGGCAGAAAGCCAAACAGAAAATCTACACACATTTGGCAGGTGTTTGGGACCCTGCCTGAAGCTCTCTCTCTGTATGTTTACCTGTTGACTCACCTGTTGTCTCTGCTGGTCTCAGGTGTGGCAGGACCTCCGGGCGATTCAGGGCGTGTTGGTCCAAAGGGAGAAAGAGGAGATACAGGATTTTCAGTTCAAGGCCCTCCAGGCTTCCCAGGGGTCAAAGGTCAGCATTAAATAAAACAAACAGTCAGCTGATGGTTTCAATGAACTGAAGATGGTAATTAACAATAATGCACTGTTTTTGTCCGGTTCAGGACTCAAGGGTGTTCCAGGAGCTCCAGGTTTGCCAAGTTTTGGTATCAAAGGACGGGCAGGACCATCAGGGCCCCCAGGGATGCCAGGGACCAAGGTAACATTGACTCATAAAGACAGTCTTCAATGTAAAGAAGGTTCAGATTTGACACAGAGAAATTAGGTTCTGCTTGCCGTGTAAAGACGCTCATTATGCGTTAGATTACATCAGCTGTACTGTCATTAAACTGTTGTTGACAGTGACACCAGTGGCCGTTCAATGAACTGCAGTCAGCACCCTGTTGCCCGCGCTCTGTACACAGCTTGTCAGAATACATAAGTTGTTATTGTGAATCATGTTAGCTATTATAGCGGTAAGTATTTGAAGAGTTGTGTTCAAGAACAGGAATGTGGCGCTTCACAACATCTCATCTTTTCCTGTCTTGCTGTTGGTCTCTGTGATTACAGGGGGACAGGGGTATCGGTTTCCCTGGTCGACAGGGTCAATCAGGCCCTCAGGGAGAAGATGGCTCTGTGGGGCCCCAAGGAAACCCTGGACCCCAAGGACCAGATGGATCCCCGGGACCTCTAGGACAAGATGGACCACCAGGAGCCAAAGGTAGCTCATTTAAGACTACTTAAATTAATTGCTGATGTTAATTAACTATTAACATCAGTAGTCGGTCGGAGTCTTCCTCTTGGTTCAGTTTTTTACATCAGTAGTAGACTGAAAAAACTGGAAAACTGATTCAACTGGACAAATAACACAGGTTTGAAAACACACAAAGTGAACTGAAGTGTCTCTCAGGTGACAGTGGTCTGGATGGTGTACGTGGTCCTGTTGGTTCTGTTGGAGTGTGTGTACCTGGAGCTCCTGGACCTGCAGGAGAGCCAGGACAGATTGGCATTATTGGATTCACAGGTAACAGCTCCACAAACTTATAGAGAATCTAAAACAATGAAGATTCCCCAAAAAATCCCTAAATCCATTTCCCTACTTGTCATGCAGGGCCACGGGGCCCAAAGGGTGTGCAGGGTGACCCTGGGCTGCAGGGTGTGGGATCCATGGGGACTTTGGGTCCATATGGAGCCCCAGGGTTTGATGGACCTCCAGGACCAGTAGGAGAAGTTGGACTGAAGGGCCTAAGAGGGAACGATGGGGAGCCTGGGAGTCCAGGTAAAGAAGTGTGCCAACACCTGCTCCTCTTGATCAATATATGTCTAACATTTATGTTCAGAAACAAAGTGGGCATGTCATATCCTTCATATCGTACAAGTCCTGATTACAATGATTCCGCTGGGAATCATGGGAACTTTGGTTTGATAGTGACAAACTTCCCAGCATCCTGAAGGGAACCGGTTCAAGAACCAGAGCCATTTGGTGGAAAAACACACACTTTTAACCTCTTTGGTCCAGGTTCAGACATACATCCCCTCAGGATGAATTGTGATAACTTTGGCGATCCTTTGACTTTTCATGTAGCACCATCATCAGGTCCACATTTTAATGTGTCCAGTACTTTGGTTTTTGACGAAATACCCATCAGCCTCAGCTGGACTTTGTGTTTACTGCTAATTAGCTAATGTTAGCATGCTAACTGGCTAAACTAAGATGGAAAACAAGGTAAACTTTGTACCTGCTAAATGTCAGCATGTTAGCATAGTCATTGTGAGACCATAAAGCAAGACATGCTACCTTGTGATTGACAGCTCATTCTCAGTGAGTCCGTCCAGCTCAACACACCAAACTCAGATCAAACTGTCAGACTAGGCAGTGCTGATCAGATATGGATCCAGATTCTGTTATTGCATTGACTATTTTTGAAAAAGTATTTCAATGTACTCTTTCTGGAATAAGAGCACTGTGTCTGGAATAAGAGAACATGTGTGAAAAACCGCCATTGCGACGACTATAACGCGAACGCAATGGGTGACGTCACGATAGGTTGGTAAAAACCAACTTGCCAACCAACCAACTATACCAAAGTATAGTCCACATATCTGTGTGTTTTAGGTATCAGAGGTGACATGGGTCCTCCAGGACCTTTTGGGATTCCAGGGGATGATGGGAAACCAGGAGAGACTGGACCACCAGGGCCGACAGGTTTCACCTATCAATTAATCAATCAAACAATCAAACAATCAACCTGTTTTTGTCTGACTGTAACTGTCTACAACCGATCTGTCTTTCAGGTGAGACGGGTAAAGAAGGGGTCAGGGGCTCACAGGGGCCACAGGGACCACAGGGGGACAGAGGAGAAACCGGACCACAAGGAATCCAGACGAATGTGATGATGCACGGGGATCCTGGAGAAGCTGGAGAAGCTGGTACTCTATTCAGTTCTGTATGAACGTAGTAGTACTGTGAGAAACTGTATCAGGATCATTGATTAGTTTTTAGTCTCCACTGTGTTCCTCAGGGTTGTATTCTGGGTCCAATTTTATTGTTTACGTCTTTACTTCGACTGTTCCTTACATATAACGCTACAGCAAGCAGCTTAGCTTAGCATTAATTCTTATTCTGCCTGTCAATATGTCTGCTTCCACCCTCAGGGTCCACAGGTCTCACTGGTTCTAAAGGAGAGAGGGGCCCCCCAGGGCTTAAGGGCCTGGACGGCAACAACGGTAGACCAGGAAATCCTGGGCCACAAGGTGAACACGACTAACAGAAAATGTGTCAGAAATTTCAGGAAATTATTGGTTTAATAATTTTGTATGACTATCGAATTATAATTGATGAATGTGTGTGTCAGGACTTCCTGGAGACCCCGGAAGAGACGGAGAAAAAGGTCCTCCTGGTCCCAGAGGACTCAACGGTGATCAAGGAGAGATGGGGAAGCCAGGTTAATTATCACTGCAAACATTGGGCAAACATGACCTGCCTCATGACAAAACTGATGTATATCTGCAGGGACTGATTGGGTTGTTGATCACTTCTGTTGATACTGAGTTAATACCGATCCACCTGAATCTGAGTATCATTCATTCTTTTCATATATCAGTGTTTCCCAAACTTGTTTTTCTGGGGATCCACTTTCTCAAAACGAAAAACGCGGCCATATGGTTTACAGAAAGGTGAATTTTTGTACTTACAAATCAGACATTTTATCACTAAGTACAAAAAGTACAAAAAGTTTTTTTTTACAACACAAATAAAAATAAAAAAATTAAGTCACTTAAAACTATTAATGCTACTTGATCAAGAATGTTTTTTTTTTACTTACAAAATTGAGTTAGGGTTAGGTTTTACTTAAAATTGTCAATGTAATCAGTTTTTGGAGTTAAATTTACTAATCTGGTTTTACAGTGTAATGCAAACTTTAAAAATAACATATCATTTAGTTTTCTCCAAAGAAAATAATAAAATGTGGATATATAGACCAACTGCGTATATTTTAAAGTCTTCTACTACGCCTTAAAATCAAGCTTTCCTCACAACCCCCTATGAAGCTTTAGGGACCCCTAGTGGGGGTCACAACCCCCCAGCTGGGAACCCCTGATTTCCAAATCAGAAAATGAAAAACCTGTTTGTTATTTCATTACTCATTTATGAATCCGACAAAGAAACTGAAACTTCTTGGTCACAAATCAAATCAAATCAAATCTAGCTTGAAAACCTCAGTATGAAACTTTAAAAACATCAACATTAACTCTCTGCAAACAATATTTAGACTTAAAGAATACACACTTTCATTCTCTGATTTCAGTCTGTTTTTCTTCCAGGTTGTAAAGGGGAGAAAGGTTCGCAAGGGCCGTGTGGGCCACCTGGTTCAGATGGGAAACCAGGATCAGAAGGACCCAAAGGTCCTAAAGGAGAACCAAGTCCACCTGGACCAGGATTAAAGGGACCTCCAGGAGAGAAGGTATCACACATACAGAGAAACACAAACCTGACTAACAGTTTTTATCATTAGTGCATTAGTTACAGTTTAATTTAATTTAATTTAATTTAATATTAATGATCTATATGATATATTGTTTGGTACACACCCCAACAAATGTTACATCATCTTGATTATAATAGTTTTAACATGCTCAACCCGACTTTTAGTGGTCGGAGGATGCAATTACACAATTACAGGGTTCTTTTACCTGTACAGTATGGGACATTTTTTGATGGGAACTTGGATGAGAGGGTCTCTGCTATTACAGACTACATTAAGTTTTGCATTTCAACAACCATACGAGTGAAGGTTCTCTAGAGATATCCAAACTCTGGATCACCCATCAGCTTAATCACAGGTTTAGGGAAAGCCTGCCAGAAAGCCTTTCAATGGCAGGACTGGGTCTCACTCAAAACCACCAGCCGTCAAATAAAAAATAGCATCATCAAAGCCAAACTCAAATACAAACAGAGACTTCAACAGAAATTCTGCATCATGAACACCATACAAGCGTTTCAAAAAAATCCCACCTGCATCAATAATGAAGTTGTTGGGATGGGGGAATCCCTCAGATACCTTGGACTCACTCTAGACAATAAACTGAGCTTTGAACAACACACCACAGACATTCACAAACACTCCCAACAAAGACTCTATGCCATCCGCAAACTCAAAGCTCTTTCTGTCACCCCCCCACCTTCTGCTGCTGCTGCTTTATAAAAGTATTATACAACGTATTCTCCCCTACTGTTCCACCTATTTCTTTAACATGTTAACTGCCTCCAGTAGGAACAAACTCATGCACATTACAAACAGTGCCTCCAAAATTATTGGTCTCCCTAGCCCCAACCTCTCAGACCTCAACAGCAAAGCCATCACATGCAGAGCACACACCATAGCCCCCTCAATCAAGGTGGAGGAAGGTCCATTAAGTTAAAGTACTAATACCAACCCCACTGTGAACATACCGCAGTACAAATACTGCATTCTGAACCTTACTGAAGTAAAAGTTTAGCAAAAGTTTAGTATAGTTCAGTATAAACCACAAAAGATACAAAAAGTTTTTTAAAAGCTAAAAAGTTGAATTTATTTTACATATATTTATTACCTGTATGTTGTCCTCACTGCAGTGTAGCAACTGCAGCTATACAACTAGCTAAACTCTTCCTCTCAAATGAAGACTTGAGTCGTAGTATTATTTTATCACTAACTTATGAATATAACTATGAAATTATTCACTGACGACGTTGCCTCTGTGGCGTTTACAGTGTTGAATACATGCAGCTGAACACAGAAATGTAGCTGTGTAAATCCAGCTAGCCTCCTCAAACTACTGACCAAAATGACCTATGAACCAGGACCTTTCCAGCGAGACAAAAGCCCTTCAAAATAAGAGTCTCTTCAAAATAAAAGTTCATTCGAATTTATGCCTGAAAGACAACACAACCTGGATATATTCTGTTAGAGATATAAAACCATCTACTTTAAATTGAACAAACAATAACATATAATTTCTTCCCATGTCCTCATCTCAGGGGACTCAGGGATGTGCTGGACCTCCAGGGGAAAAGGGGAAACCAGGGGATGTAGGAAACTTTGGTCCTCCAGGAGACTGTGGTCCGTGTGGCCCCAAAGGGAATCCTGGACCCCCAGGATGCAGAGGTCTGATTTGTTTAAATGTCATATATCTGCCGTTTATGTTCAAGCACACTATAAAGCTTGGAAGCTCAGAATAAATTACTACTACCTCTGCAGACTACATTAATGCCTCTGTGGTTTGTCTATCTCAGGTCCTCCTGGGCCTGCTGGTGGAAAGGGTTGTGATGGTCCTCCAGGACAAAATGGCCCTCCAGGACCCACCGGCCTTACAGGTACATAAATCACACAAACCAATGTGCAGTGACAACACCGGTGCCTCATGAGCTCATGGTTTTGGGGTTGGGTGCCTTTCTCAAGGGCACATTGGCAGTGCACAGGAGATGAAACTGGCATCTCTCCATATTTTGTGGTCTGTGGGACTTGAACTGCCGACCTTCCGGCTCCCAAGCCAAGTCCCTACACACTGAGCTACTACCAAGGGCTGTAGGAGTGTCAAGATTCTGATTCAGATTGTAAAGAATCAGACATTGTTTTAACGTTATAGATACTACAACATCTATATCAACTACAACTCCTGGATGGATCTAAATGTACCATGAACTGGTCGATGGTCCACTTCTAAAGTAATTAATCTGTTGACTGAAAGCTTTGCTGCTAACAGCGTCTCCCCTCTTGTGAAGGGTAAAAGGTCAACGGCAGGGTTTTGCTGCACGAGGGAGTAATGTTAGCGCAGCATAGCTCGTATAGACATAGACAATGCCGACTCGATTTACAGTGCACCATCATATCTAAAATCTAAAGTTTGGAAGACATTTGGATTGTACAAGTTGGAAAAGAGGCCATTTATAAGATCTGTAAGAAAACAACGCTCACCTGGTGAGACAGCATGGTGACACATATGCAGGCGATACGATTTATTTAATTTCAACGCGATATGATATGCATAGGTGTCACTATGCCATCTCACCAGGTGAGGTAAGATCTGTCATGCTACCACTGGACTTAACTGCTGTCTGACACATCTTACAAACATACTTTTGTCAAACTTTACTTGCTTCTTATAAAATCCAAATGTCTTCAAAACTTTAGATTTTAGATTTGATGGCGCATTATGCGTTGTTGGTCAGCCACGCTGTGCTAACAGTACTCTCGTCGCACTTGCATTGATCTTTCAAGAGAGTGGAGACACTGTTAGCAGCAAAGCTTCAGCCAACAGATTCAAAACTTTAGAATCAGACCATTTACCGGGTCATGGTTCATTTAGATCCATCTAGGGGTCTGTGTACCGATGTAGTAGTAAGATTTGTATCAGATTGCATCACACAGAATTGTTCGATATTAAAATGCATTGTCCCTGAATCAAATCGTGGCCCATGTATCTGGATATGTATCAGATTGTCTTTGAGGGGAGAGATGCACAGTCCTTATCTCAATGTATTAAATATATTAAATTTATTTTCAGGTAACAAGGGGGCTCCTGGAGATCCTGGTCCAGCTGGTCCCAGAGGAAACCAAGGACAGGACGGGATACCTGGACCTCCTGGAGAGAAAGGAGCCATGGGAGGTAAGAGACAGTGTATAAAGGTGGTAAAGGTATGGATGTTTCTCTCCCTTCTGATTGGTTGGTTTTTTCTGTCCTCAGCTCCTGGAGTGGGACCTCAGGGCCCAGAGGGGAATAAAGGTGCACCAGGTGAGTACCTGTGTCTGACTATGACTTTATTTTTCTAAAGGAAAAGAAATAAAACACCCACTCTCCACCTCCTCTTGTATCATCAGGGCCTGCTGGGGAGAATGGTCCACCTGGTCCCTGTGGTCCTCCTGGACCTTTTGGTCCTGAAGGAAACCCAGGTTGTCCTGGTCCTCCTGGACCTCCTGGTCCTCCTGGTTGTCCCGGCACAGAGGGAGTCTGCACTGGAGGAGAAAAGGGAGAAAAAGGATTATTTGGAGAAAAAGGACCCAAAGGTGACAAGACACATAAAACAGTCTCACCACAAGGTCAATTAAGTAGCTGTTCTGGAGCTTTTGATCTTGATGCATGTATTTGCAGAGCATTCTTGCTGTTGCATCCTTGGGTTGGCAAACATCAGGACCGATCACAGGACCACATATGGCTCTAGATCAGAAGATCTGTAGGGTAGTGCTTCAAGGAAGAAAGTCAGGGTCTGGTCAGCCACATGAGTCGCCTGGGTGATGGTATCTGATGACATGAGCCTCAGCTGTACATTGACGTTAACATTTAGTTAAAGCACCACTGTGTCTGAGTACAGCCTTACAGAGCTATTAGCATGGCCATTAGTTCTATAATCACGATCAAACGAGTTTCAAATGACGTTTGAATGAATTTGTCAAACTTAACTATAAACACATGGCACAAATGTATGATATCACTCAGGAAAACACTCTTTTGGAAGATTTGAAGACATGCTATCATGGAGCCAAATCGTGTCGCAGACGCGACATCTTAAAACTGTGTTAAAATTTACAGAAGCACACTGCTTCTCAAATGCTTTGGTGTCGCAACTGTCTGCTCAGGACGGCTTTGCTTCCTAGTGTCCTCCATTTTAATAGTAAACAACATTACTTTCTTATGTCACTGATGGGTCAAGATAATATTGGCGCGCCCTCTGCTGGATGCCAAGCATCTACTACTACTACATCTACTACTTCAAATTAATCATGTCAATTTTCAAATTTCAAATAAAAAACGAGAACCCTAATGGCCATCGACACTGAGGTCTCTTTCACAACTCCAGTTTAGTTCAGTTGGCCTGGACCAAGGGTAAAAACTTCCATTGTTACCTTTTATTTCTGGTCTGCCCCCAGCCAACATAAATCAGATAAGACATGTAAAACTGATTTATTAACATATTGTAGCTCTAAATTAAGAAAGAACACAACCGTGAAATGTAACTATGGTGAGTCTGTCTTTCTGCAGGTCCACCAGGCTTTCGGGGTCCTCCTGGTCCTCCAGGTCCTGGTTTTAAAGGAGACAAGGGATTTAAAGGAACATCAGGTGACGCAGGACCATCTGGTTGCCCTGGTGACCCAGGTCCACCAGGCCTGCCGGTCAGTACATCTCACAGTTAAAATGTACTACAGAAATTCAACTGAATCTCTGTGTACTCAGTATCCAGTTGATATTAGACCTTAGATCAGGCGGATCTAATTTTGTAATTTAAACACTGGTGAATCCCAGAAATTGATGAATATGAACACAATTTTCTTTTTAAAACACATAAATATCATCACTAAAAACACATCTATGCATGCTGTGCATATTGTATACAGTATACTGTATATACTCTCATGTCCACCTACCTCATATACATGAAAATGTACATTGTAGTTTATAAGTTTAGTTGTCTTGTTTATTACTATTCTGTGTATGTATTTTTAATTTCCCTCATGGGGGATCAATAAAGGAACATCTTGTCTTATGTACATTGAGAGCAACGTAAAACAATGGAGTCAAATTGCTTGTACATGTACACATACCTGGCCAATAAAAGTGATTCTGATTCTGATTCTGACAAAAATAAGACATATGAGGCCGATTCTTTGAAGTGCTGAAGAGAATGTGTGTCTGATCAAATCATCATAGTACTAATACAGTTGTTGTTGTTGACAGGGTAAAAACGGACCAGGAGGCCCATGTGGACCCAAAGGCCAGATGGGAGAGACTGGTGTCAAGGGACCCGTCGGTAAGAACTCTGCTTAGATAATCGGTATATTGAACAGTATCACAACAAATGGTCTGGTCCTGGTCTCATCTCAGCAAGCTGGTTGGTATTTGCCTGCTAGCTCTTGCCTTTAAGGACGCACCTGAGTTTGAATCTCAAACTGAGTATTTTTTGGTTGTTTCCGGGTGTCTCAAAAGGAGTTTTATTATTATTAAGGAGCTGATTATGTAACACAGTGTGGGGATTAAGGAAGTTTGCTGTATTGTGTTCTTGCCTGTTGTATTGTTGTACTGTTGCAGTTTGAAACTTGAGACAGAACAATGTTTGAATATTTGTTTTCAGGGTCATCTTCAAACAAAGATACAAAGTAAATTTGGTTTTAGATACAAAGTAGGTTTTCAGGTAAACTTAGTGTAAACGTAGATTCCTCTGTGGACTCTTTGTGGGTGTTTCAGGTTTGAAGGGGGAGACTGGACCACCAGGTAACAAGGGCCCACGAGGACTTCAAGGACCACCTGGGAATAGAGGTAACCCAGTGACATCACACAGTGGACAGCAAACTGTTCACAATCAGATGGTTGAGTACTGATACTGCTGTCTGTAGTACTGATACTGCTGTCAGTAGTACTAATACTGCTGTCTGTAGTATTGATACTGCTGTCTGTAGTACTGATACTGCTGTCTGTAGTACTAATACTGCTGCTGTCTGTAGTACTAATACTGCTGTCTGTAGTACTAATACTGCTGCTGTCTGTAGTACTGATACTGCTGTCTGTAGTACTGATACTGCTGTCTGTAGTACTAATACTGCTGCTGTCTGTAGTACTGATACTGCTGTCTGTAGTACTAATACTGCTGCTGTCTGTAGTACTGATACTGCTGTCTGTAGTACTAATACTGCTGTCTGAGTTGTACTGCTGTCTGTAGTACTGATACTGCTGTCTGTAGTACTGATACTGCTGCTGTCAGTAGTACTAATACTGCTGCGGTATTGATACTGCTGTCTGTAGTACTGATACTGCTGTCTGTAGTACTAATACTGCTGCTGTCTGTAGTACTGATACTGCTGTCTGTAGTACTAATACTGCTGCTGTCTGTAGTTATGATACTGCTGTCAGTAGTACTAATACTGCTGCTGTCTGTAGTACTGATACTGCTGTCTGTAGTACTGATACTTGCTGTCTGTAGTACTGATACTGCTGTCTGTAGTACTAATACTGCTGCTGTCTGTAGTACTGATACTGCTGTCAGTAGTACTAATACTGCTGCTGTCTGTAGTACTGATACTGCTGTCTGTAGTACTAATACTGCTGCTGTCTGTAGTACTAATACTGCTGCTGTCTGTAGTACTAATACTGCTGCTGTCTGTAGTACTGATACTGCTGTCAGTAGTACTAATACTGCTGCTGTCTGTAGTACTAATACTGCTGTCTGTAGTACTAATACTGCTGCTGTCTGTAGTACTGATACTGCTGTCTGTAGTACTAAAAATACTAATACTAAATACTAAAAGTAATTTCCCCATGGGGATTATTAAAGTATTTCTGATTCTGATTAATACTGCTGTCTGTAGTACCGATACCACTGTCAGTAGTACTAATACTGCTGTCTGTAGTACTGATACTGCAGGGTACTGTCTCTGTACTGAATACTGTCCCCTGCAGGCCAGAGGGGGAAGGATGTAAGCATACCCGTGATTTTGGAGAAAGGACACATAGGCCCACCTGGAGACCCGGGATTCCCAGGACAAGTAGGAGCCCCAGGGTTAAGAGGTAGACCCGGAGGTCGAGGTGAGTACAAAGTAAATTCGGTTTTAGATATATACAATGTAACTTTAGTTTGAGACACAAATGGAGTGAACAGAGTTTTAGAAGCACTTCTGTGTTTTTGGATGCAGGTCCTAAGGGATACAAAGGGAAGGATGGTAAAAGAGGACTAGGTGGTCGTCCTGGATTGAAAGGGGAACTGGGAGATGAAGGATTACACGGACCAAAAGGTACGAAATCTGTTAGTTTTTAAACAGAACCACATAACTTACACTGGAATAAAGACTGTAAACTAAAGGAGTTAATGGACGATATGGAGACCAGAACCGGTTGCCTCAACAAAGTCCATTAGTTCTTGTTGGGCATTATTCCGCTCATACCACGGCCACTTGCCAAAGAAAAAAGAAAATAAGATAATTTATTTATATTTTGATGTGTTTATTCTGAAGTTTTTCAGAAGCCATGACTAAGTTACCGACTTGGCAACAGGAGATATTTCTAGTTCCCGCTGCTCAGAGAGCTAACGTCACGCTACGAGACAGTGAGCTAACGTTGTGCTATGTGCCAGAGAGCTAACATTATGCTACAAGACAGAGCTAACAATACGTTGACTCTGTGTTGACAGGTATCGCAGGTCCACGAGGTCCGGTTGGGGCTAAAGGTATTCAAGGTCCAACAGGAACCTGCCATGACACACCGAAAGAGGATGGCTTCCTGTTCACCAGACACAGCCAGGAACTTGCAGTCCCACAATGCCCTGCGGGATCCTCTGAGGTGTACAGTGGATACTCGCTGCTGTTCATCAACGGAAACAACCGAGCCCATGGACAGGACCTTGGTAACATAAGGAAATATTCCTGCTGCTGTATTTATACTTTTATGCTTTATTCATTAAAATGACCAGGTGGTAAAAGTTCACGCATTCGTTTCTCAAGTACAGTATACTCTCGGTTTCTCATTTCTCAATGTGTCTGTGCAAAATTAACTGAGGCTTCCCCGAATTTAGTTATTTGACTAAAATATATGCATTTTCACATAAGTTTTGACTATTATCATTACAATATTCATTAAAAAGAAAACAACATTTGGTAGTTTTTCATGTTATACTCAGACATTAATGAGAAAAAATAAAACTAAAGTAAGGAGCTTGTGTGGGAAGTAAAATTAAAAAGCTGTCAAAAAAATAAATACTACAGTAAAGTAGATAACTGAAAAACTAAAAAAGTACAGTTACGAAGTATTTGTACTTCACTTCCCACCTCTGTATAAAACAGCACTTTCAAGATTACTTAAAAGTACCAAAGTTTTTTGTTTTGAGGATAATTATATATTTAAAACATTGGACCTGCATTTTGGAATGAATAAAGCTCAGTGTCATTTGGGCGAAAGTTCCGACGTGAAACATCTGTTTGTCTTTTTCTCTCTCTCTTTCTCTCTCTTCAGGTACATTAGGTAGTTGTTTGCCTCGTTTTACCACCATGCCTTTTCTGTTCTGCAACACCGACAGCACCTGTCGCTACGCCTCACGCAATGACTACTCCTATTGGTTGTCCACCGATACAATACTGTCAAGCAGCATGCCGTTCATCTCCGGGGAGTCGTTGAAGAATTACATCAGCCGGTAACACAGGACCTTGTTCACTGTGGACAACCTGACCCAGCATGGGTTAATTGCACTTGCTAATTGTTTGGATTACATTAGCTAAGATGTGACTCTATATATATGTCGCTTTTATCTTTTAACCATCTTCAAAATGTTCCCATGTTTTAGGTGTACTATATGTGAGGCCAGAGCCAACGTCATCGCCGTCCACAGTCAGACCAGTTCAGTTCCAGACTGTCCTCAGAACTGGGACCCTCTCTGGTCCGGGTACTCCTTCGTGATGGTTAGCTAATACTGCTGGGTCGGATTGAGTCGGGCTGTTCAAAGTCTAAATAATGTCTTATTTCCTACAGTGCATTTGACCAAAGTATGGTCAAGTGGAAACTGATAGTCCCCATAGATTTGACCTTTGACCCTTGCTGTCAATGCTGTTGATCTCTAGGAAACGGGGGTGGGGGCAGAGGGGTCGGGTCAGCCTCTGGCCTCTCCTGGATCCTGTCTGGAAAGGTTCAGGAAGATCCCCTTCATTGAGTGTCACGGCAGAGGAACCTGCAACTACTACACCGACTCCTACAGCTACTGGCTGGCTGCTCTGAACCCCAACGACATGTTCAGGTACAGTACAGCTTTACGGATGCTCAAGAACTCAGTACCTTCGGGTATGCAACACTTTTATTAGCACGTTGACGTACGCTAAGCTGCCCTCCATAAATATGTATTCTCTAAGTAATGTTCATGACTTAAATAAATCCTGTCTTCCTCCTGACTAAATCTAATTTATTACATTAAATCTGTATTTCTGATTGTTTCATGTGTGTAAAGTTGAAATAGCTTTCAAATATTAAGATGGCTTGACACATTCATTTTAATTGTAAAGTTTGAAAGAAATTCACTGTCTAGCTTACTAGCACTAGCACAGTAATATGTGAACTATTATCACTATCTGCTCCAATGAGCTCAGCTAATAATCTACAGATGGAGTCAGTCAGAGTTCCCAGTGGAGAACATGAAGATTCCCTTTCTTCTAATTCCCACATTGTCCTAAAATTGTCCAGAATTCAGGATTTACTGACACTGAAGCTGCAGTAACTGCAGCTGAAGCTCAGAGACAGCGAGGGAGAGCGCAGTGACTGCACTTACTGCAGTTTGGTTTTTGGTTGGATTTTGTAGTTACTGCAGTTTACAATCGATAGAGCGAGACTGAACTAGAGCAGTATACAACAGCTCCATAACTAACTAAATCAGTTTGGATTGAGAGGACATGAGGGAGAGAAAAATACTAAACAAGTTTTATTTAATAAACTCACCTGATGATGATCTCTCTCTCTCGTCCTGCAGTAAGCCGAAGCCTCAGACCGATACCGGAGTGTTTCCCGGCAGTCTGATCAGCCGCTGTCGAGTCTGTATGAAGAAACTGTAAACACTGAATACTGATACTGCTGATAGTACTACTGTAAATACTACTGCTGCTAACACTACTGATATCCCTACTACTGATAATGGTGCTACTTCTGCTCCTGTGTACTTACACCAGCAGTGAAGGTTAAGAGAGATTATTTTATGCTAATGAGCAGTGATGTGTCGCAGTATCGACCAATACAAAGACCTATAAAAGGTCTCGTCACTTCAGCTCCTGTAAATTGTCTGAATTTACTTTAATGTTGAATTTTTGCTGATTACAAACACATTTCAACTTCATAATAAATATATTAGCAAAGAGAAAATCCTAATTTCTGACTAGCTGGCACCTCTGATCAACAGTTTGATCACTGATCAATAAGATACCTTTTATCTCTTCCTGTATTTCTTGCATCAGAAAGCTTAAGAGTTTTGTTGCAATCACTACTTCAACTATTACTACTATTACGTACTAATACTAATAAAGGTAACAACGCCTCAGTGTCAAAACTACTTTTACTGCTACCTATGTTAAAGTACCAAAAGTACTAGCAGTAAAATGTTACGAGTATCCAGTAGAAGTACACATTCTGCTGATGTGTTCCTATTAGAGAAAAAAGTACTTCATAAGAGATCAGATTAAACTGCAACCAGCGTCTGATATAATGAGTATGTTTATACTTTAAAGTACCTCAAAGTAACAAATACATGTACTGCAGTAAGAAGTAAAGTGGAAGTACTCATCTGACAAAACTGTACTTCTACTGATAACCATTAGTTTACTACTTACTAGCAGTGTTGGGCAAGTTACTTTTAAAAAGTAATTAGTTACAGTTACTAGTTACTTCTTCCAAAAAGTAACTAAATTAGTTACTCAGTTACAAATTCTAAAAGCAACTAGTTACTTCAGAAAGTAACTATTGCGTTACCTTCAAGTACATTTTTAAATGCTCAGATGTGACCCCACCTCCACCCCTCTTTAACGGATCTTAAAATACATGTGCATGTTCAATTATTTATGATAAATCTGAATAATATAATGAAATGGACACTTAATACAATCCATTATTAACAGAAACAATGTACACAAATTTAAACTATTTTAATGTAGCTGTGGGACAAAGTGAGACTAGCCTCCAATCAAATGCCATGTATGTAGATATTATGTTTATATAGTGGATCGATACAAATAACACAATAGATGTTTTGGAACTTTTGATATTTATTGCCCCTCAACAGGCCACAACTGGGCAAAATTAAATTATGCTTGTTAAGCACTATACCAAAAATAAATAACAAATACATACACTCTTTGTAGTGCAAATAAAACCAAAAAAAGCTTCAGACAATTGGTAGATATACTGTACAATGTACAATGTATACCAAAACTAAGGAATCCAAATATAAACAAGTAATACATAAGAAAGAAAAAATACATCTCCATAAAAATAAATCTCTTTCTCTGGCCATTGACAATCTCACTTCAGGAGGCATTTTTGGCAGTAACGGTAACGGCGTTATTAAAATGGGAAGAGTAATCAATTAGATTACTCGTTAGTGAAAAAAGTAACGCTGTAGTAACGCCGTTATTTATAATGCCGTTATTCCCATGACCGCTTACTAGTAGTACTCACTCCTACAGAAGCAGTGCAAGAAGCAGGATTACTATTAACACTAGTAAAATAGTAATTCTTAAACTTCTTTTTTAGGAGCAAAAAGACGTAAGTATCAATCTGAGTACTATAATAGTAACCGTAAAATGATTAACTCCAGTACTTTGTGCAAAACTACTACTACTACAGCACTGTGGTACTTGGTGAACAATACTTAATACGTGCAAGTGTTTTTCTCCAGTTGATATTTGACAACCTCTAAGTACTACTGCTACTTCTACTGCTGGTACCACCATTACTACTACTGCTTTTACTACTGTGAGTACTTCTGCTACCATTATATACAAATCTACTACTGCTCCCACTACTGTCACTAATATGACTAATACTACTACGACTACGACTGGAGCTGCAGTACCAGCCTCAACCTGAAGGGGGCGCAGCTGAAACACCATAGAAGAAGGAGCCGCAGTTCCTCAAACAGACACCATATGGAGTTCCAAAACTTGAAATGAATGAGAAAAAAACCTAAATATTTTATTTTCTGCACAGCAACAACCCCGATTGGAGGACTCTTGCAGCAATGCATTGTGGGAATTGTAGTTGTCTTCTGACACAGAACAAATGTCTTTATATTCTTATTAAACATTGATATTAAACAGTATAGATGTGTTTACAGTCTGACCACATTCTCTTTAAATCCTCTTGATGTTGTACATAATCTCATCCTGTAATTGTTAAAGCCGCTGATATATTGTGATAAATTGGGATAACATTTTGTTTTGTGAATATGATTATTATGAATTTAATAAAAGGTTGTTTTACATAAGTCCGTTCAAGTGGTATCTTGTTCTAAAACGTAAAAAAACGTTTAAATCTAGTACAGGTTGAACAGGTTGATTTAAACAACAAGGAGTTTTTAACTGACTTTGAAACAGTCTCTATGTGACCTACAGACACAAACAAGACCATCATTGAGAAGATGGGCTGTTGCTAGGGTTGGAAAGATTTACAGATACAAGTCAGAAATTGGTTTTAACTTTATAGATGTGACTACATCGGTTCTTGGACCCTGGATGGATCTAAATGTACCACAAACCGGTCAATAGTCCGAAGTTATGAATCTGTTGGCTGAAGCTTAACACTTACCTGGTGACACCAATGCAGGCGGCAAGGAGTCTGTGGATGCTAATACAGCTAGCAGAAGCAAGAACACTTTAACTTAGCTGATTATAAATTGGGGGCTCCACCAGGATACATTTATTTCTGAAATGATTACCCTTTCCTTCCAGGTTCCTCCCCCAGGTTTCTCCCCCTGTTTACACTAATAGCACTGTTAGCTCTCTTTATGCTAAATGCAATGTTTGCCAGCTGTGTAGTTGACTGCTTGTTTTTTCAGCACACTAACATGCTGTTTTCTTTGGAATTATATATTTCTATTGTTGTCTTAACTTAATTTTGAATTTATATGTTGCTGCATTTTGGCTTTGTAGGACAGAATACAAACAGAGAATAAAGAATCTAATAAGATTAATCTGTATTTGGCTGCAGGACATTCTGAGCTGTACTGTAATGATAATAATAATATGTTGTAATATTAGAAGAGTAATAAAGCTCTGTATAAATCCTCTGACTGATGTTCCCAAAATTAAATATTTAAAGTTCTTTCCATTTTCCAGTAACTGTTCAACTGTTTGTGACTCAGAGTGAAAACAAAAACTGTACGCATCACAGGGAGGAACTGTGACATCATCACTTTCCCATCATTCCTGTGTGTGTGTGTGTGTGTGTGTGCATGTGTGTTCATGCCCCAGGTTTCTTAGCAGCGAGCGCTCACCGTTAATGTGTTACCACGGCAACCAGACGCCACTAATGTGTTTATCAGCATCTGAAGAAAGCGATGAAGATGGAGATGAAGATGACGTCCCGTCCTTCCTGCTAGATGTTCAGATTAACCATTAAAAGTCTCGCTCACTGTCCTTCCTGTGCTACACTGTGTGCTTTCACAGAATATAGTTCACGTAATTGAATGAATATTAAAGACATATTTGGGTAGAGAAGATATGAGCCGACAGCTGACCTTAGTTATCCTGTCAGGTTCCTCTTGCAGAGGTCAGAGGGCGGAGGTCAGGTAGAGGGAACAATACAGAGTGCTGCAGTGTCTGAGGAGATAATCCATTACAGAGGCAGAGAGAGGGTGTTTGTGTGCTGATCTGTGGACGGACAGATGGACAGAGGCTTTTATTAGAGTATAAATAGAGATTGATAAATGTGCTGTTCAGACACCAGAGGGCGATGTTTCTCAGGCGGAGGTTGAATATCAGGTTTACACAGACTGAACTGTGATCACTTTTCATTTATTTAACACAATATGCATTAAATGACCTTGTTTTCAACATCCATGAACTGTTTTCTAGCTGAAACTCAACCACCAAACCTCTGTGTATTTATAGTTTATTTTACATGTTTATACACTGTTTACAACATTTATCTTATCATTATTATCTGTACCTTATTATCAAAACCAAACAAAATGACTGTAAATTATATACATTCTGTTATATTCATATCGGAAAAGTAATGTTCAAAATATCACCAACCAGAGCTCCTACATTACCAGGTAATGCTTGTAGATATAGTAGGCATATGTATGTACAGTGTTGGGCAGTAACTCATTGCTAGTAATAATATTACTTTCTCCAGTAACTAGTAGTGTAACTAAAGCTTGTTGCAGCTGTGAGGACTTAATGAGCAGTCAGTGACGTGTGGAAGATCTGGGTGTTCCTAAAAGTTCAACAAACCTGAAATATGAAAACGGGAAACAGTTTGTAGTTTTGGTGGATGGCATCATGGTTTGTGATGTTAAGTTAATAGACCAGTTTTGTTTGTTTTACTAACCTTTATATTCAGTTTTCTGTGTAAAATAAATGATCTTTAAGTTTGTAATTTTTACCTTATATTGTGTTTAAAAGGATCCAACCTGGTATCATTCCCAACTCGTCAAATACAGCCACTCAGTCGGTGTCTGCGCTCACACTAGGACACAGTAGTTATCCTCTGACATCATTTCTGTACGCGTCCATCTGCTGTAATGTTTGGATGTGCTGTCAGGTGACGTAGTATAAAAAGCAAATATGGAGGTGTCGGTGGGTGGCTCAAACAAACAGACTGTTTGTGTCTGTGTGAAACCAAATGTTGTTGACAACAGAAAGAGAATATCTGTCCTTGTTAATGCCTCTTCGTTTAATTTTTCATAACAATGTCAAAACATACTGATCTGACTCGTCTTTGGAGTCTGTAGGAGGGAATGTGTGACGCAAAACAACTATTCAAACAAACAGTTTTGGGTATTTTACTGGTTTCCAACAGAAATTAGTTAGTTAATTCAAAACCAGTCAATGAAGCAAATGTTTAGAATTAGTGAAGTTTGAAGATCCCACATGAGCTGCACAGTAAAAAAATATATTTTCAGACCGAATATGCAAAGAATTGAGTTGCTCATTAACCCTGCCAAGAACAAAGAGACACCAAACAGTCAAGTTAATTTTATTCAAGTTTGATCTGTGTCAGATACTGTAGCATCACTGTCACGCAGAGACATGTGACACAAATATGAAAACAATATGAATCCGAGCCGGAATATGAATCCGAGCTGGAATACGACGGCAGGTTGCAGCCGATCACCTCATCAGTGGTCGGTCTGGTCTTGTCCCCGGCGGTGATGGAGGAGGTGACTATCACTGACAACAACTCCTATGACCCCACGCTACTTCACAGCATCATCAAACTTCCTGTTTCGACATGTTTCTTGATTGAAGGTTTAGAAGATTATGGAGTCTGGTTCTAATCTAATATCCTTATTATTGAAGAGATAGCTGTTTATTTTTGATAGATCAATAAGTACACAACTCCATTGGAGTAAAAGTTAGAGACACCCACTCAAATATTAGTCCAAAACAAGTGAAATATAACTCCAGTCGATCTACTAGAGTACTCACCTTTAAAAATACATAAAAGTATATTCTTTTAGTTTTCTTTTCAAAAGCAAATGTTTTATACTTTAAACACTTGAGACACTGAATACATGTATTTTAAAAAAACTACAGGCGTAGGTTTCAAACTTGTAAATCTGTACATGGACACAAACAGAAAGAAAAACCTGACCACAGACTTCAGATATCTACATCCTGGTTCTGGGACTGGGGGGTGGATATTGATCCATCTGGAGATGCTGCAGCAGTAAAGTGTAAAAGCCATCAGGCATCAACACAGTCTTTGTTTTTACAACCTCCAAAACCAGTCCTGGACTTAAGCTACTTCACGCTTAAGTCCACAAACCCTGGAAAAGCGATCAACCATAGAAGAGAAAACCCGTCAGCTGAAGTCACGCAAAGCAGTTTTGGGGTCTATTACTGGTCTACTTTAGACCATTTCCCACAATGTCTGTGAGTTGGCTTCTTATTTTTCCCTTTTTGTCCATGTTGGGAGATCCAGCTGTCTCAAAAATTTAGTTTTCCAAGGTACCTGAGAGAAAGTGGGCCTCCGTTGTTGTGTCTGTATTTTCATTAATACCAGCTGCTATAGAGTCTCAGACTGTCCCACGCATGGTCTCACGAGTCTCAATACAAAACACAAAGAAAATAAAACGGTCAAAATGGATGACGCGGTTGGTTTCCCCCCCTTTTCTATATTGTTTTATTGTTGCCACAATACGACAACTAAAATCCAACAACCATTGCTCCAAAACTGCTTCTCAGGTTGGACGGAGAGTTTGTGAAGGCAGTAATGAAGTTTGTGTGCAGCAAACATTTAAAATTTAGAGTCATTTCAGAAGTCTCAAACGCTTTCTTTGTAAGATCCCCAATAGCTGTGCCCTGAAGCAAAGTCAGTCCTCCAGGGGTCCACATTTAAAAACGTACATTAAACATTACGATCAACACGACGCAAATTAGTAAAACTTAAACTATTTTTTTAAAGATTTTTCCTTATTCAAGAATAAAAACTACAAATTCCATATTCATAGCGTCCTACAAATATGACATTCCAAGGTGTTTGCTTTCTGAAATGTTGTGTTAATTTAATTTTTATTGCTCTATTGTGGATTAAATTGGACATTGATGTTTGCCTCAGGGAGCGAAAGCTGACCTTCTGTTGCCTGTCTGGTGGCAAATGTATGTGACTGTAAATAGCTTTTTAATTGACTGCACTGATATGATGAATATGATGATCCGTCAGTACCAGCACTCAGTTCAACGCAGCCACTCTTGTAACGAGTAACAGGAACCTTGTACTTCCTCCTACGTACTGTAGCAGAAAGTACAGACACTTAAAACACGTACTTCAGTTAATGTTCTTCCCTCAACCCTGAGGAGGTATTTTATCATCACTGAAGAGGCATTTGTTTGTCATTATTAGCACATATTTTTTATGTTTTTGGGAACTCGTTCAGGCTTATTCTCGATCTTTTTTAAATACACAATTGTCACATCAGAAACCTTTCAACATACTCAACAAATGAAACACATTTTTATTATTGGATTGTATTTTTAATTTTTACTCCACTCTTATCTTATCGTTTTTCAAGAAGCACTTTGAACTAAACTTTATGGAAGCTGCTCCCAAAATAAAGTTTGATCCACTGAGAATTCTACAACCACTGATCCCAAAACTGGCATTAAAATGAATTGAGTTTGGTGTAAACAAGTTTTACTGAAGATTCATAAAAACTTTCAGTATTTTGACATTGTGTTACTACAAGTGCTGGGGTATCCCTGATGTCGCATCCACTCTGTCTCTCCTTAGCAGAACATTTTAAACTAATAAAGTGTT